CCGTAACCAAAAGGTTAATCAGAGCGAAAACGTCTTAGAGAAATAAGGGGAATAACTTTGCAAAAATTTAACTAGGATTATCTGCCTTTTGATATTGCATCATATGATCATAGTGAACAACTAAACTACGTTTAAAGTAAATTCGGTAGTTTCTGAGAAAATAAATGAAATTAATCAAACCAAATTCTGAGAGTGACCATACCATAATACCTTTAATCTGTTGTCAATCAGGGTTACAAATGAAAATGTTAAACAAAAGAAAATACTTATCTATTGAGAATTTAGTATCAATTATCCTTTCTAGCCTAAAGATTACATTATATAGTAGCTCAAAACCTCGATATTTATGTTCGTTAAAGAAACCAAGTAAGACAAAGATAATTTTTGTGTAATGGCAATTACAATTTAATATCTATGAGAATGTTAAAAGTAATATAATTCTACTTTAAACATGATTTTAACATGAATTTACATCTTGCGACATTTAACGGTAGTGTTGCGACATTAACGGTAAGGGAAATTCGTGCGACATTTAACGTTAACATTGCGACATTTAACGGCAGATGATTTTGCGACATTTAGCGGCGGTTGCGATATTTAGCGTCAATGGTGCGACATTTAGCGGCAAGTGCGACATTTAGCGGCGTTGCGACATATAACGGCGCCACAGACTGAATTAAACAATCAAAGGTAAAATATTGTCGTTTTAAGGTGTAGAATTTCTCCAAGTTGTGTGTTCGTCTTTCATTCGTTTGCAAGTTTAAATCCTCGGGAAAAGAAAAGAAGAAAATTAATGCGACATGGCACATAATTTACATTTTTATGTTCTTTTTTCTGTATTTATAGCTATTTAAGGCATTTTCAAAATAAAAAAATACATTAAGATAAAAACTTGAAAATACCAATCCTAGTCTTGTAAAGTAAAAGTACCGTTGAAGCTTAATTAAAGATAAATACATGCATTTAATCAAATCTTAATTAATTGTTCCCTTCCATATTTTCGTTAAAAATGCACACGAATGGGGAATGATTTTTAAGAATTTCGGATATTGAAAGTATAATTTTAAAACTATTGTTAAATATATTATTAATCAAATGTATTAAGCTGCTTTCTTAGACAGAAATAATACATTATAACTTTGTCACAATACAGCAAATTTTTAGATGTATCCCTTTTCCCTACAGAACACCAATGATGTAACAAAAATGATCGATACAGTAAACTTATCTAGGTTTCACTATTCAACATCGTTTCCGCAAATCATTCACTGTATTTTAGAAATGCAGGACATGTATAATAACGGGAATTCTTCAATACAGGTGAGTATTTTTCAAAATTACACCACTCATTTCCTACTTTCATTTTCGGTGAACTGTCAGTATAAAACCTAAATATAGCAAACACATAAAGATAAACATTCACACATAAAGATAAACATATTCACACATAAAGATTTCCTACAAAAGTTCAATATTTAGTACTCAGTGGCCACTTGCATAACCAATTTAATGTGAACTTAGATAAACTACACAAGGCGTGTGTAAATTGCATTTTTTATTTCTATAAAAAAAAACTTTTATTGCCACAACACAATGTAGAAATATAGCTATAAATACTGCAAAATCAGTCATTCATTGCTTAAATACATGTTAATCATTACTTGAATTGTGAATATTTTTACTTTTCTTAAAATTTAAGTATATTTTTCTAAAAGTTGATTTTCCGGAAATGTTTTGGCTCATCTGGGCGGGGTATTCTGCTTAAACTAACTTTTTTTTTTACCGAAAAAGAAACTGGAAATTTGATGCAATGCATTTTCAGAAAAAAATACTTTCGGTTTGAATAACAACAACTTCATGAGCATTAGATTGTTCGACATTCTCCAAAGTTTTGTAAAATATTTCATTATCAATTAAGTTTGTGATGGACTGAGCTGCAACAATTCTGATCAAAATATAGTATTAGTAACCAGTAGATTATGCAACCACGTTTTGATGACAATTTTATCAACTTTTTTTTTCATAAACAGGCCAGTATTTTTCTTTTTTCATTTTTACCATACCAACGTCGCAATATTTTTCTACGTCCTTAATAATCAGAATGATAGCATTGTTTTAGAAAAAGACATACTAACATAAAATACTGAGGAAAAAAAATGTAGCCAGCCCACGAAGCCTGGAGAGCCCTTTGGTTATCAACGTCGCTAATCTGTGTGCATTATGTTTGTGCCTTAATAAATCTTGTGTGAGCCCTATGGGAGATTTGTGCTGTCAACGTTCAACCTACAGGTACATTTCGCTTTATCAATCAATTAATAAGGAATCACCTTATGGTCAAATGTATTTCGAACCATTGGACGTCTTTGTCTTCAAGTGAAGAAGAAAAAATGCAATGTATTTGTGTTACCCGCTGTCTTTATTTCAATTCAGGTATAAACTTTTTTTTGTTTCCTTTTTTAAAATATTATGTGGTTTAATAGTTTTAACATTGCGTCTGATCAAACTAATTGCTGTATGTTTTTTATAATGTAGGATATTTTGTATATCCTTGTCGTCGATTTATCTTTTTGAAATGCTATAACAGGAGGAACATGATGACCCTCTTATCATTCACCATGAAAAGGTGAAATAGGAGTCCTTCTTTACATTTACATTTAAAATCATAACATTGAAAAACAAACAAAAGTGATTTTTAAAATATATTCAAAAATGTTTCTAGAAATTGCACAAGTTATTGGTATAATAAGATGAAATATTGCACTATAATTATAGTCATAAAGTAATAGTAAAAAACCACATCGAATCAAATTAGTTTTTCAAATTCATAAAACGTTTAAAAATCTTTAAAATATATGTACTTTCAATTTAAGAGAAAATCAATGTTTACACAAAAGAAATACAAAATGTAGTTCATAATAAGACTAATAGGTCGGACTTAATTGTCTATCAGCATAAAACTTCACATGTAAATACAATATAGTTCATATTTTCAAATGTTAGAGCGACACATGCTCAAACTGATCACGACTAAACGACAATAGTCTACGTTAAAAAGCACAAAGATATATATAAACAAAGCAGGACGATAGTTTTTCTACAAAGTGTAATAGAATTAACTACGATAAAATGATACCAGGTATCACGATAAAATAAAATCAGTTTATTCATAACAATCATCAGAATCGTAGTCGGATTCATAATCCACCAATTGGGAACCACTTGAACTTTCCATTCCTGCCCCCGTAGAACAAGCTTGGAACGATGCGGAACCTCCTTTCAACAACGGACGGCCATTGCGTATCTCGACTGTGTTTGCCGGCTGCCCGTCCCAGGTCTCCTTTCTGTACCTCCAAAACGGATTGCGCTTTGCATGTTCTCCTCCAACAGGTTTCCTTCGAACGACAATAGATGTGCCTTCGTTTTCGGTTGTAAATCTGAATGGTTCGATGTCTTGGACTTCAAATGTAATCTTCTGATTTCCAGGAATAACGCCATTCAGACGGAGCTGTTTCAGAACCCAAAGACTTCTGTTGTTTATCGTGTACCATTTGTCATTTTGATTATTCCAATGGCCAATTTTCATGTTTCGTAGAAAATCATCGACAGTTATTTTTTTATCACAAATTTCATCCAAAACTTCACCAATAAGTTGTCCTTTGAAAAAAGCAAACGTATTATTTATATTGTCTTGCGAGAAGCGTATCTCATCTGGCAGAACAGAGACATACATTGTTACGGTGAAGCTCAATAACAATTTGGTATGCAAACAGATTGTATTTGACAAGGTTTAAGCGAGCGTTTTTGTTGGTTTTTGTTTCGTCGAAAACGAAAGTGGAAACTTTGTGCAGTGCATTTTCAGGGAAAAGTACTTGCCGTATCTCCATATACATGCAATCGAGATAGTCATAAGAGAAAAAACTTTGTCATGTGAAATATTTCATTATCAAGTATATTTTCATTGGGATGCATGGATTGAGCGGGCCAAGACAGCTTACAATCGCATTTTCTCGGCCTATTCCGTCAAACTTCGGATAAGGGTATAATATGTTCCGATTGCTATGTGCATTTCTAAACTAACGGAAAATATTTTATATATTTTCAAAATGCAAAACTTTATGATTGAAGACATGCATGCATATTTTAATTCAGAATTAAAAGACTATTATACAAAATGTAAATATAACTGTTTTGTTTTGTTCTTACGGACAGCATTTACTTCTAATATAACAATGGACGTTCTGAATATTCATATCGAAATATGCATTATAGATACAAGTATATACAAGGGGTGAAAGGTATTGTTTAACGGTATGTTTTGGCAGTGGATGACCCGCTGATACCTAGCATCTCCTATTACTAAGTGGTTTGTCCATCATTATATAGAAAACGTTGTGCTCTAAAGTATTCTTATCTCGAATTCTTGGTCTGTTTGGTCTTGGTGCGTGTTCAAACTGTGGTTCTTACTGTACATTTATTTCTTTCATAGATTATTGGAAAAAAATACTTAGGACAATTATGACCAAACAATGGATTACACAATATAATTTTCATTTGAACTCACTAAATTGTTAAATTAAAAATTTAGCAGAGGGAGTAATTAGGAAGGGTGAGAGAACTCTTTGAGAGTTATACGACTGCTTTATCATAGAAGTCACATACATTTATTTATTTATTTCTTTTTAGCCCGTTTGTTATAATAGCGTGAAGCTCAAGTCAAATAACTTTGTGAGCAACTGGTACTGGTGTGAATAAGGTAACATTGTCATGCCTCGAGTAGGTCTCAAGTCGTAATCCATGGTTTGAGAAGAAGGCAATATAAGGATTGCTTAGCGAAAAACTATTTCCTACTGACAAGACGTTAGTGGTTCTTTTGAAAATCTTTAATTTCCAATGATGAGTGTGCTTTTTGCAACAGCAATCAACTATCAATATTTGCAACAACGGTCACAAACTGTTATGTGCGACCATCTAAAATGAATCAAAAAGAACAAAAATTGTGATTTTGTTATCAGTCATTTTATTTATCAAGTCTAAAATTTTATATTTGATTATATGAAAAAATACAGGATGGATCAATCAATGCATATGGTTTATAAAGGCAAGGTGAAAGAACAAAGCTCTTTGACACAACAATCTGTACTGTACAATATGACTTCATATTTTGTTAGTTGATATACTCAAAGGCAGTTTAACTAGATATACACTATCTGAATACTATATGCCATAATCACTGGTATAGGCTTGCATATGTTACTGTTAGCCACTCAATTTCAAATATATCATTGACAAAAATACCAAAAAAATACATCTGAATATTCATTTATCATTTCATGAAAATAATAATAACATGTAATATCTAATGATCAAGACTAGAAAATTGTTGAAATTATGTACATATAAATAAAACTAATTTATAAATTTATCTGTAAGAGAATTATTTCTTCTTATTTAAGGACAAGGGATTGAAAACATTCTTATTATGAAAAACAGGATTGAAAACATTCTTATTATGAAAACAACCTCATTATAACAACTAGATAACTTGATAATATAATATGTTTGGAACTGCCCTTCAGTATATCAACACCAAAGTATGAAAATATTAAAGTAGGTTTCACGATAATATATTAACAAGTGCACCAATATTTAAATCATCTTAGAACATGCATAATGTAACAATACACATGACTTGGTATAAAATAATGTATAATAACTGTATAAAAATGTATAAAGGTATTTTAATAGCATCTTTTTACAATTAAGTACTTGTATATTACTTTAAGGACTATACAAAAATTCAAGTTTAAAACTATCATGACAGAAGCCAATCAGGAAGCCTGATATAAATACAAGAGCCAATCAATGACTCTTGACACATGATAACCAATCAGAAAGTCTGATACAAAGGTAAAGAAATATTTCAAACAACAAGACGTCTAATTGGATGTTCTAATATAACAAGGTACCTGATTGGCTCTTCTAACAATTAAAACACATTCTTGCTTTTTAAATTTTGGACAGTTAAACTGTTTTTTTTTTCACACAAATCAACATGTTATAACAATAATACTAAAAATCGTATTTGGATGATATCAACCTTATTCTATAAATACAAACCTTTAGATGTAAGACAGGTTACACCCTATGAAAAAAACTTTCTTATTAAGGCAATCCATTTTCTAATAATAACAACAACAAAATTTTATCGATTTTTAAAAGGAAAAAAAAGTTACCTTAAACTTCTAAAGGAGATGCTATGTTATGGATGGACTTAATTTACAAGGCACAACTTTAATGGACGTTTCAATAAATTTCTTCTGACATTTGAAGAAATGCATAGTCAGCATTTTAAAACATGTAAATTAAGTGTACACAACCAATTGAATGACCATATTGAACAAAAAACATCCTTAATTGCTAACACATTACCGTGCAATTACTAAAAGTGAAAAGAAATTTTCACATTTCATATTTGTATTTCTACAGATCCGCTAAGTAAAAAATACCGAAGGAAAAACAATATTATTGCATCAAAGTTTATAAAACTGCCAATAATGATCAAAATAAAAGCAAATACACAAATTCTGTTGCATATTTCTATTTAGAACATATATAAGCTGTGTAAACTAAAAATGTGTAACAAACAACATTAAACTCTTTTCAATTTTCTTCAAGTTATAAACAACATTAACCTATTTCATAATTTTTCCAATTTCATAATTAAGGTTATGTCATAAAATAACAATACATAAAGAATGTCTACTTGTTTTCATAATAAAAGAAAAAAAATACACACCAAAACTGTTTGAACAAATACAAATGTTTATGTTTTAGTGATACATGACTGACAGGTGAAAATACTTCATAAAATATGATTTTTTTTGCTTACTACTTTTTTCACATTTGTAAAAAGCATTGTCCACTAAATTAAAAAAATGAAATAGTTAAGATATTTTACTCTAGTAGTATTATCCAAATCTAACCATTGCTAAACAATTAAACATTTTGAAGTGTCGTCTTCTGAAGTCCTCAATAAATTGTAAAACGGTGTAAAATTGCATACGTGTCATAGATGAATGGTTTTCTATGAACTTCAGATCGTTTTCCATAAATTTCATAATTTTTTTTCCATAAAATTCATAGTTTTGCATAAATCTCATGGATAGTTTTCAATAACATTCACATTGTTTTCCATAAATTTCATAGTTTTCTTTAAATTTCAAGGATGGTTATGCATAAACTTCATTCATGGTTTACCAAAACCTTCATAGATAGTTTTGCATAAGATTCACATATGGTTTTAAATAAATTTTATTTATTTTTCCATAAACTTTATGAATGGTTTCCATAAACTTTGTGAATGCTGTGTTTTCTATAAACTTCATGGATGGTTTTCCATAAACTTCATGGAGCATTTTCCTTAAACTTCAATCAACTTTAATCATGGTTTTCTATACACTTCATAGATGGTTTAACATGTTTCAAGTTAACATAATGATAATGACAAAATTATTATAACTACATGCTCTTTATCTCTTGAGTAACGTATGTGTAATATTTCTTTGCAGTTCAAAAATACACAAAAATGCCCTTGTATGGATTTCTTTACAATATTTTATCAGTTAAACATGTATGAAAAAAAGAAAACAAATTACACTTCTTTACTTCAAATAATCAAATGCTGTAATAATATAAATATTCTTTCCCAAATGATTTGCCATGGGAACATGGACGCTTTAGTGTTCAAACATTACATCATGTAAAACACTTCTTGAAACATTATATAAACAGTAAACAAAAGTGGATATTCTATTTTCCATAACTTTACAATCAAAATAATATATTTCAAGTAACTTTGGAAAGATGCTTTATTTTATAATACAAATAAGGGGGAAAAAACATACAATATCAGAAGTAGCAGATCTTTTACAAGAAGCTCTTTACACTTAGCACTTTAGGGTTTTTATTATTTTACACTATTTACATAATGTACAGATTCTTTCCTTATTAGGCAAGCTCGAAATTAATATGTGTATCTCATTTAAATTATTTACTACGAAAACAATGCAAAATGTAAAGTAACGTGTGTATATAATATTTGTATTAATCAATTTCTTTTAAAACACTTTAATGTAAATTCTATTATGATAAAAGCGGTCTTCAGCTTTTCTAAAGGTTAAATATGTTATTTTTAGATTAATCATTTCATGTAATTGCCAAATCAAAAGAATTAAGGTGGCAAAATGAAATTGCAGTTGATAAAATACATAAAACAATAAGGAAACCCCTTCATACCTCTAAACTACTCTAATCTGATCTATATATGTAAATTATTAAAACTGACAATTCGTTTCCCAATCTTATACTTTTAGCACAAACATCACTGGCACGCTATAAATAGCTCTCGGGACGCTGTTTTGAAGTAGACTTAACAGATGCATTTTTCCCAGATAAATTTACTAAAATACTTAGTTTTAATATAAAATACTTAGTTTTAACAACACAGAATTGTGTTTCAAAAGATAATATAAAGAAGCCGAAGGCCGCTTTAATAATAAAATTCAAAATTTGGTGAATAAGTATAAATTTAACAATATTGGTAAGTAAACATTAGTTACTTATCATGGCTAATTTTCTTCTTTAAGAAATCAATGTCGTTGTTATATGAAGGCACACAAGTTTATTACTATTCCATTAGGACATATAACAAATAAATTACACTTATATTTATATATATATTTTGATATATCATACTTAAACTGTGTATATAATAACCAGTAATTTGAAAGAAGTAATTGTTTACAACATGTTTTACAAGTTATAGTGAAGTGTTCAACATTTCCTGAATTTTTTGGAAAGAGGATAAAATTAAAATAAAAAAATAACTTGCAGAAAAAATAACAACAAGAACATAACATGAATCCTAATTAATATATAAAAAGATTACTACAACAAATTTGGAGATTGTTACTAAAACCAATGCACAAAAAAAAAATTACGCCAAAATAATTTCATTTTTTATATAACAGAACAAATAAGTCATCCTAATAAGTTGAACATTTTCTTATTGTAACTAAAATAAGTACGCAGTTAAAACAATATCAAGGATATTGCTTCCGTACATGGTACAGTAAGTGGGCAGAACAAAATAATGGTGAAAATATTTTATATGTATATGATATTTTAGATGACAAGACTAACATTCAATGAACATGTGATCAATGTTAAATACACAGAACTTTATGAAGTCAGTTAGGCTGGAAGAAAGCTCTGAACACCACAATACTTGGCTCAAAGTAGTTTTTAAGCTGCTTTTTTTAAATATCTGCTAAATTTTCTTGAACTTTTGCTCCTGAAATTAGCCTTCAGCTCTTCAAAATGAGCCTAACTGCTGCAGATCAACCTAAAGCTCTTCAAATGAGCCTAATTCCTGGAGATGAGCCAAAAGCTCCTCAAATGAGCCTAATTGCTTGAAATAAGCCAAAAGCTTATTTATGGATGATACAGTGACTGTAAACTTGTGAACATTACTACATTTATGTTGCATAGTGAACAATAACTACTGAGATCAAGTATATTACAAAAATACCTTTTATTCTTAAATGTCAACAACTGGACACACACAAAAAATATTCAACCTTATTTGTGTCACTATTAACAGGGAAGGTTAACACATAGCAACACTTGTAAAAAGCAACAAGACTAATCTTTTCACTACTTTTTCCTAAAACTAAGGCAAATGGTACCCGATAAAACATTCCTCCATCAACCTTTATTAAAATCAAAACACCAACAATATAACCTGCCTCACAGGCCCGTACATGTAAAATATCGAAGGAAAATGCCTGAAAATGTATGAACAGTGACTGGCACCATTTCACTATGACGTGATGTAAGGGTAGAATGTCTGCACAGCAAATAATGAAAATTATTTATATCCCTTAACATTTTATAAATTATATACTGAATGACACAATAGTAAAATTTACACCAGCACTTATCAATTTATCTTTAAATCAATGTGCTTCAGAAAATAATTTTCTAATTGTTGTTTTCGCAAGGTCACAAAGCAGTTATGATATTCAACAATTTTTACATAATTCTATGTCTTAAAAATCTAAAAAGTTAATTTTTTTAAGCCTTTATAAGGATATGATTTTTAACCAGCATATTTACAGGTTTCATTCAACCATCAAGTAAAGGATACTGTTTTAATTCAACTTAAGAAAACTGCTGCAACAAAACCAATACATCTATCTGTACATGCAAATTTGCGATAGAAATAAACCTAAACTTGGACGTCATGTCAACATAATTTTTAACATAACCAAGCACTTGTCTATTCCTATCACTTCATTCAATGCTACATTCTTACATATAGTATTTTTGGCTCAAGTCTGTGGCATAATATTTTGATTATAAATCAAACAATCATCGGGTCAGCATTTGTTGTACAACTGATTTTTTTTCTGGGTTGGAACCCTAGTCCTACATTTATAACTTGTATGTCACAAACCTGGGAAAAATATTGCTATGTACTGGCAAAGTAAGTACTTAAATCCTTTGCATCTTGAACATTATGGAAGACAAAAATCTTTTTTAACTAAAGCGTAAACCCAGTGTCAAAAAAATATTTTTTAAATTTGCTTCATTTATTTATATCTCTAAAAGTTTACATTTCAGTTAAATCCTTGATTCAGTGTTAAGTAGAATAACCCATTTATTTTGGTTTTGGAACTACTTTTTGACGTGATTCTTCTGGACTACATTTTTTAATCATTCTGTTGCCCTTTCTGAACTAATTTTTTATATTTTTTCTGACACTGATACACCGGCTAACATTCACTGGGGGAAGATCACCTTTTTATCTAAGTGCTGTCACTGTGTAAATTCACAGTTTTTAGTCTGATGCACCATATAAATGTTCTCTTCTTCTTTGTTAAAATTAGCAGCACACATGGTCTGTATATGTATTCATACACAAGTGGTAAAGCGTCAAATCATGCACTATTTTTTGTCGGAGTAAGCACATCAGTCTTTCACCAGCTTATATATATGATGCTGTGCTCCGTGTTCACTTGTTGAAACTTCAAACACATATGCAATACATAAAACAGTCTCTTGTGTGTCTCTATTACTGACAACCTGTGGACAAAAAATTCAAAAATAATATTACTACATGTATATTAAAGACGTAACAAATAGACTCCTAAATCAATCAGGGAAATTGGGAAAAAAGACCATTTTTGATTGGAAATGAGACCTTATTTTAGCTCCTAGTGATAGGGTAAAAATGAGCTGTCAATAAGTGCTGACAAAAAGAGAAATGGTTCAAGAGAACCTGTGACTTGTTAATACTGTTTGGAAGGAATAAGGTAAACCGCTGCATGATCAAACTTTCTTTGAAAAGGAAAGTCAGTGCAGTAACCTTACAAAACAGACTCATTTTAAAATGCCTCGATAAAAAAAAAATATTTTTTTTATTTGCTTATCTCTTGCCGAATGACATCTATCTGATTTATATTATCTGTACCATGTAATTGTGAAATGTATACATACCTGTAAGATGGTGAAATTTTCCAGTACACTATTCATCATATATTTTTCTGGCAGGTGTTTCAATTTGTGTATAAAGTTGATCATATATTCGCACATTGGAGACCGATGAATTCTGTACACAAACCGGCCATTCTCAAACCTTGGATACTCGGTCTGTTAAAAAAATCATTATATATATTAACAACTGGCAGGAAAAAGTTTTTTCACCAAGATTTGAAATAAACATCCTGTTTTCTTAAACTGTAAAAAGGTTCATAACTTTTTTGGTTATTACTTCTTACAAACATTTTTTTCTTTGAATGAAATAACAAGGTATCACCAAAAAAATAGTCACACTTTTTCACTCAAAATCAAATACATCTCTTTCATGGCACGTGAAGTTTACTAAATACCTAAACATCAAAAAAATATTTATTTGAAGACAAGATAAACATCTCAACAAACCAGCCTAAGAAAAATAAATAACAAAATTCCTTAAATTTCCTACTGCAAAGATAATCTTAATCTTCTCTTACAAATTTTTTTATAAATCTTTCCCAAATTAATGTTATCGTTAGAAAACAGAAAATATACATATCTAATCTGCGTACACCGCTTGCATACACAGGTATTTAGTATAGAGATTTTCCTCATTTATATTAAAGTTCTCATTTAAATTAAAATACAAACATAAGATGAAAATGGGAAAACATATAACAAGTTTATTTTTAATACAAGCCGTTAGCTTCCTGACAAAAACATAATTCATTCTCTTGTGGGATTCAAACCCGGATATGAGGGGCAATTTCAAAGTTCAAAATAAAATAAAACAAGCAATTATCATAGTATTGCAAGCAATCCATAAGTCCCCTACCGGTAAGAGCCCAAGCAACATTCTATGGGCCATTGGCCATTCACTTAGGTTCCTATTTAAAGTAAATTTGTTGAAAAAGTTCTTTAAAAGTGATCACAGGAAATAGTTTTTATGTACAGACAGACTGAAAGACACTCTAAAGTTATTTTTTAAACTTCCCTGTTATCAAAATATAACATTTTTAAAATCCTATCATGATTGAAGAAGTTGGAGTAAAAATTACCAATTTCTCAAAAAAAAGTCTAAGTTCAAAAGGGGCATAATTCTGGAAATAATCTTGCTAGAGTATTGAACACTCACAAATGTTGAGTGACAATAAGAAACATTTATATGAAGTTTGAAGTAGATACATTCAGAAAAAGAAGTTATTAAAAAAAACAATGTTTTTTCCATGAAAATTTCAAGTTCAAGGGAGGTAATTCTGATAAATTTTGTGCTAGAGTTGTAAACCTTGTCACATATGATGTGGTTGATGAAAAGCAACTTATATTTAAAGTTTGAAGAAAATACCTTAAGAAATAAAGAACTTATAGTGAAAAAACTTAAAAACTAGAATCAGAAATCTTGAAATTCAGTCTATTTGTTGCCATAGCAACCAGAATTTTCAACATAGGAAGATAAGAAAAGGATGTGAATAATTTCCATACTGCCATCTGCCCATATGTCAAGTTTCATAAACATATTTTCAGTACTTTTTGTGTTATCACTGGATCCAGGTTATGTGTAAAATTTGCCATATTTTCAGTCTATTTGTTGCCATAGCAACCAGAATTTTCAACATAGGAAGAAAAGAAAAAGACGTGCATAATCTCCATACTGCCATCTATCCATATATCAAGTTTCATTAAAATATTTTCAGTACTTTTTGCGTTATCGCGGGATCCAGTTTATGTGTAAAATTTGTCATATTTTCAGTCTATTTGTTGCCATAGCAACCAGAATTTTCAACATAGGAAGAAAAGAAAAAGACGTGCATAATCTCCATACTGCCATCTATCCATATATCAAGTTTCATTAAAATATTTTCAGTACTTTTTGCGTTATTGCGGGATCCAGTTTTGTGGACGGACGGACTGACGGACGGACAGACGGACGGACAGACGGACGGACAGACGGACGGAGGGTAAACCTAAAGTCCCCTCCGGTAAACCGGTAGGGGACTAATTACCAAGTGGTTTGATAAATATATTTATATGCTAAGTACATTTTGAAGCATTAACTCACCTCTACTTTTTCAACAACCTGCTTTCCAAATGAACACACTTTTGTAGAACATGTAATAGTCATATTTTCACTAGATTCATACTGACTGTTAACACCGTAAAATGCTCCTTGTTCATCCTGTACGTTTGTGTTAATATCCGCCTGAAATTTACATGTTGACACTTAAGTACTGACATTATATATGTTTGCATTTATATATATACAGAAATTTTCATGTTTTGAATGTCCGCATCCAAAATTTAAATATTTCAATACCTTTTTTGTCTGTTTGCTTCCTATTTTAATTCAATTTTAAACATATCTAAATTAAATATTTCAATACAGTTTTTATTTTTTTAGCTCCCTGTTTTCTCAATCCCTGTTAAATTTTAACCATTAATGTTGCAACAGACTTGTCCAGCTTCAATTTTTGGAAATATCCTTGATAAGTTTTAGGGTTATCAAGATGAAAATTCAAAAGTAAATTTTTTATCTCAAGTTTATTGAAGTTAATCATTAAAGGTAAACTTGGCGGGCACGTCCGTGTGGTTAACCCATCGGACTTGTAATCTAATGATCTCTAGTCGCATGGGTTCAAACCCCATCAGGGGCAAGTTGTTGTTTACTTGAGCAAGAGACTTTACTCTCATTGCTCAGTGCTGGTTCATTTCAGGAATAGATTCGAAAGTGTGTCTATAAGCTTATAGCTTCCTACATTATCAAACTAAAATAATTTCTTTTATAATAAACTAAAGGTAAACTTACCCAAAATTTGACAAGGAAAAATGCTGGTTGTGGACCTTTATCATATAATTCTTTAAGACCGCCTTTCTTTTCTGGAAATTTATCGTATATCTGTCTTATGTCAACAGCCTGTAAATATCAAATATTCATAACATCTTTTATAATATATTACCTTTCATCATTACTTTTTTATCATTCTAAGTTGACAAATAATACAAAAATTAATAACTTAAATGTTGTTCAGGTTAATTTTATATTCAGTGATACTTTTAGCATAAGGGGAATGGGGAGGGGTCACTTTTAAAGGAAGAAATTTACTTGCAACACACATTGTGGGACCAATCCTTGAAAAAGAAATGAGCCCCAAGTTCAACCATAATAATATGCTTCTATTTCATGTTGTGGTTTAACTGTTACACAATAATCTCTAGCTTGCATTTTTCCCCTTCAAAATTAATTGGCAACTACAGCCAGCTTTACACTTACAAACCCTATTACAAGTAGAGAAACTGATAGCGAACAGCATGGATCCTGATCAGACTGCGTGGATGTGCAGGCTGGTCTGAATCCATGCTGGTCGCAAACCCATTACGTTGGTTTTGTCATGACACGGCTCATATATATATTTCAACAGAAAAGTACAATCTCATCAACTTACCTCTAATAAAGGATCTGCATATCCAGCATTGGAGTTTATATGCACAAAAAGATGTTTATGATACTGAAAATATAATGATGAAAATCATATCATAATCATTTTTTTAAATTTGAACAATTCTAAAACATTAATTTTCAAACCCAATCATTGAATTGAAAGAGGTAAAAGTGTCATAGTTCAATATTTTATATACCACTAGCATTATGTTATCCTAAGCATGCTCTTGCATAACTTGCATAATTGCAAAACATGGGTTAAACTAATGGAAAAACCAGTCTGATATGCAAGAATAAAAAATTTAACAGTATAATACCTGATCACCGTCCCTTTGCTGTTCAAGGTAGGCAGAAAATTCAACAAGACGTAATTTTGGACCGGCAATACTTCGACCCTGCCATGACGGGGTCATTTCACTGTTCATTGATGTAGGTGGTTTTGTATCAAGCCCGTACCCTGGGGCACCATATGGTGGCTTCACACTGCACAAAAGGAATAACAAAACATGAATATTTCAAACTAACAATTAATAAAACGCTTCTTACAGGCTCCTAACATTATTTGTATGAAATATTTATTATATAATTAGCACTTGGTTCTCAAAATAATAATAAATCATCTTCTCCTGAACTACATAAGGTCTTATCATTTGACAAAAGAATTTATAACTGATTACATAATAAACTGTGCATATTAAACTAAAATTGTGCGAACTGGCAATATAGTAAAATATAATTAACTATTATTAATATCTTTATCAAAAGAAAACAGAAAAGCTACTCACTCTCCCTGAGCGTTTGGATGCTGCCAAAACTGAAATACAGAGTAAACATCTCAATTTAAAATTTTTCATCATATTTTTAAACTTAACAATTTCAAAATATTTAAAACATTCTTCTAAGTGCATTAAGAAGTGAAATATTGTATCTTGAAAACAATTTTTAGAGTTTTGCGTGTGAAAGATGATAAAAAATCAAGGGCTTAATGTAAAACTGACAAATATTCTCTTTTATTTTTAATCAGTATTGAACTTTTTCATAAAACACTTGAAATATGTAACACCAGAAAAGTATCATTTGATGACCTAACTTTTCAAACAGACAGAATGTTTGAAACACAAACTTACTGTATTTGGATGCAATATTAATTTTTACATTTAAGGTTGTGTGAAAATTATGCTTCTCCTGCCACCCCTTACCCTATCTTTTACTGTACATGCCTCTACACTCTTACATAAGAAATTACAACAATTTTGTTTTGTGGGGGGAAAAACATGTCAGTGGTTTAACTTTATTCAGCATAAAAAGATGTCTAACAAAACTCAAATCTGACATTTCAAGACTGTTCATCAATGTTGGAAGACAATTCATTGTGCCAAAAGAAAGGTAAAATTTCTTAGTTCTTCCAAGGGTTTTAAATAATACAAATGTCACTTTAAGAAGTCATTAAAGTAACTCTCTAATTTAAAACATTAAGTTGATAAACAATATTTTTCTTATTGATAATGAGAATCCTGATCCTATGGTACTTAACCTGATCTTGAGAACCAGTCCCCAAAATGCAACCATTTCATTGGCCGAATTTGAATCTTTCATTTTAAATCAACCAATCAGATGCTCAAATTTCTCAGACTGGTCTTCAGTTTCAAGTTTCTTAACCATAGGCAAACAACTGTTTTAAATGTTAATGCATGCACAGTCAAATTCAGGACAACATCAAAGAAACAAGCAACATTTGTTTGAAACATGAACTAAGTGGGAACAACATTAACATGCTTTTGCAAATGAACAAAGCAAAATTTGAACCAAACATTGAAAAACTAAACAGATAAACATTTTTTCTTATATTTACACAGTCCAGGAAATCTAGAAATATAGTAGTAAAATATTTTTTAAAAGACCCTAAACATTCTGAAATATAATGATCAAACTTGATCGAATATGATCAAAAGTTATATTAATATGTTAAGTTGAAAACTGGTCCGACTGAACTTTATCTACAGGAGAGAATTTTCTTTTCCTCCTAATTTGATATGCAGTATTATGAAAATAATAAAGGATGTAATACTAGATTATAATGTACCAAAGATATATGATTGATAAATGGACAAAAAAAAACTTCACACATTTAGTAATGAAATGATAAAAAGATGGTGAATGAAGAGTTAAAGGTGGTTGTAGTGTGTTTTGAGTCCAAGTGTCAACCTCCAGTTGTTGTTGTTACCTTCCGAAGACATTTGATGAAGAATGACCTTTTTAATTTTTCTTTCTAATCTTTTTTTTTAGAAGTAACAAAAGCTGTCCGAAGGAATGAAGGAATATCACCTTTCTTTATTTTCAATTTTCTAATTAAATTTTAAAAACATTTTCCCATGACTCATTGATAATGAAATTTCTTCAATAACCCCCCACCCCCCCCCCCCCACCCCCAAAAAAAATATATTGGAATAACAAGCAAATTGGCAACTGTCAGGCACTTCACTAGAACCCACGACTTGATAATGGTGATATAATGAGTGATAGTGATAAAATGGTATACAAGAACATCACACCGTGTTTTTTATGTTTGTTTTCCTTTCAAACACTTACATTTGGTGGGGCGCCGGGGTAGCCCGGCCGGACGGATGATGGATTGAACCCTGGCGGTAGGCCCGGGAGACCAACAGCCTTACTGTGTATAGCACTTGCAGAAACTATCTGAGCAGACGACATGGCAGCCATACTTTGTAAAGCCTTGTCCTTCGCTGCCTGGTCCTGAAAGTTTGAAAAGTTCTCCTGGCAAAAGGAGAATTAAACTATCAGTATTTGGGGTACCAGTAGCATCTTAAATCATTACATCTGGGTACCAACGGAATTATTTGGTTCCCTGCTTTAAAATGTAAACAAGCATCCCTTGTTATTCAAAGCTGGTACCAGCATGTTTCATAAAATAGCTATATAATTAGAAGAACATAAAACATAAAATATGTAACATTTAATGTGTATTCAACCATCTGAAGCATTTAAATCATATTAATCATAACATTCCAAACTTTTTCAAGCTTTTCCTAAGCAACAACAAGCAAAATAATATAAAGCTAGTTGGCTCATCATGTCTTTCCATAATTTCAACTTTTTAGTTCATTTGTAACATTATTGTTAAAATTATGAGGAAATAACATCCACAACAGTCAAACCTGTCTATTAAGGCTTATTGTTGGCCAAATGGAAATTGTGTTAATAAAAACAAAGTTTTATATTTGGAATAGTCATTGCTACACGATACAAAGTGATTTGAATGTGCCTTTTTAACTGTCAACTTTACCATGGTAACTCAAAAAGGAATGCTAGTTCTTTAACTTCTTCAACTTATCTTAATGGAATCATGGTACCAAGTTTAACCAGATGGTTGACAAAAGTAATTAGTATAGATATGTAATTAAAAAACAACTTCATATAATATCAACAAAAATTGATTAAAGCTGATTGGTTTTTAATTATACAAAACTTAAAGCTATGCTCTTTTTACAAAAACATAACAGAAAAGAAAACAACATAGTTTGCTGGAATTGATTCAGTAAAGTAGATTTTCATTTCTTCATATTAATTCTGAAAAACTAAGATCACAATTCCCATTATCTTGTTATTTTAATACAAGACAATCAGTAACTAAAAACTTCAACAATCAATTCCAACATTCTAGTTATCTAAATAATAAAATAAAACGATATGTCATGCAAAATGCAACAATAAGAAACAACATTCAAATCAATTAAAGAGTGTCAACTTTGCATCCCAAGTTCTTTGAGCAAAATTTCAGAGAATATCAAAGAAGTTTCAATGCAAACAAAACTTAAAACATATAATAAGATGAAGAATTTCTTTATTTTGTGTTTATATAGGACATAACTTGTATTAAAATGCAAGGGAAGTAACTTGTGCTGATTTAATCAAATTTCAAGCCAATAGTTATCTCCCACCTTTCAATATCATGCATAATACTCAAACGAGGTCTATTCATAAAAATACTAAAATTATTCAGAAGTATTCTAAAACATCATCAAGATTGTAATTCTAAACAATTCATATATGAGCCGTGTCATGACAAAACCAACATAATGGGTTTGCGACCAGCATGGATCCAGACCAGCCTGCGCATCCGCGCAGTCTGATCAGGATCCATGCTGTTTGCTTACAAACCCTATTACAAGTAGAGAAACTGGTAGCGAACAGCATGGATCCTGATCAGACTGTGCGGATCCATGCTGGTCGCAACCCATTATGTTGGTTTTGTCATGACACGGCTCATATATGTGTCGTTAATGATTAAAAGTCAATGTCAGACTAAAATATTAGCTAGGTATATGCATGACTTGTTTACTCTCTATAAAATACTTTACAGTAATATAAAATCATGCAAACATGCTGAAATATTCTAGCTATCGTTTTATTATCTTTAATTGAAAACAAGATTGCATTTGAGAAAAATGCTATGCCACCGCATTAATACAACACTAAATAGTAGTGTTGGAACAGATTTTTTTGTGTTTCTATACAATTTTGAAGATTGTCATAATGCATAGATCCCTGACCTATCTTATTCTTATTATCAGATTAGTGGTTAAATATGTTGTTAACTCAATAAAAGATCAGAGTAGGAATATATCAATGCACTCGAGTCTAGTGAATTTGGTGGTGAAGGTCATATTTCACACAGCCTAAATTTCATGACTACATCAAAGAACAGTAAGACACTTTGTCAAAATCTAGGTCAGCTGATATCAAAGTTCACTTTACGTCTTAATCTGTGCACATGGTTTAAATTTCATAGCTGTACATCAAAGGACAAGAAAGTAGGTCACATCATCAAAATCTAGGTCACCTGATATCAAAATTCAATTTTACAACTAAAACTGTGCACATGGTCAAAATTTCATTGCTGTAAATCAAAGGACAAGAAAGTAGGTCACTATCCCCTTTGGCAAGGCAAAATTCTGGACCCAAGGGTTTCATTCAAAACAATCTTGATACAGGTCCACCAAACAACATTTCAAGTCAAATATCTAATCTGTAGCTTTCTCCCATTCAGAACACATTTGTTTTATTTTCTGTTTTTACTATGTATACATAATGAGAATCACTGCCCCCGGGCAGGGCCAATTTTGACACCAGGGGAAAAATTTGAACAACTTTGGAAGAGGACCTATAGATGATATTATATAGCAAACATCAAAGCTCTATGCCATGTACCTTTAGATAAAAATATATTTTTTTATTTTTTCACTATATATATATATGTATATATATATATACATATAAGGAAAGCCTATGGCCCCCTGGGCGGGGCTAATTTTGACACTAGAGGCAAAATTTGAACAACTTTGGTAGAGTTCCTATAGATGATATCATTTAAAAAATATTTAAGCTCTAATAAAGACAATAAGATTTTTTACTATAAGAATATATTGAAGATACATATAAGGAAAACTAATGACCCCCCGGCGGGCCGATTTTGACCCCAGGGCTATAATTTGAATAGTCTGGGTAGAGGTCTACCAGACAATGCCTTATGCAAAATATCTAAGCTCTAGGCCTTTTGGTTCTTTGCAAGAAGGTATTTTAAGTTTTTACTATATGTACATATAGTGAAAAGCAATGACCCCGGTGCGGGGCCGATTTTGACCCCAGGGCTATAATTTGAACAATCTTGGTAGAGGTCTACCAGACAATGCTTTATGCAAAAAATCTAAGCTCTAGGCCTTTTCGGTCTTTACAAGAAGGTATTTTAAGTTTTTACTATATGTACATATAGTGAAAATCAATGACCCCCGGGGCGGGGCCGATTTTGACCCCAGGGCTATAATTTGAACAATCTTGGTAGAGGTCTACCAGATAATGCCTTATGCAAAATATCTAAGTTCTAGGCCTTTTGGGTCTTTACAAGAAGATTTTTTAAATTTATTCTTATAATTCCTTTTGGTTGCCACGGGGCGGGGCTGATTTTGACCCTAGGGCTATAATTTGAACAATCTTGGTAGAGGTCTACCAGACAATGCCTTATGCAAAAAATCTAAGCTCTAGGCCTTTTCGGTCTTTACAAGAAGGTTTTTTTAAGTTTTTACTATATGTACATATAGTGAAAATCAATGACCCCCGGGGCGGGGCCGATTTTGACCCAAGGGCTTTAATTTGAACAATCTTGGTAGAGGTCTACCAGACAATGCCTTATGCAAAATATCTAAGCTCTAGGCCTTTTGGGTCTTTACAAGAAGATTTTTTAAATTTCTTCTTATAATTCCTTTTGGTTGCCATGGCAACCAGATTTCTGCATGGAATGGAATTCTTTGAACAACTTTGGAACCCCTTCACCCAAGGTTCAACCCTGCCAAGTTTGGTTGAAATTGGACTAGTGGTTTTTCACAAGAAGATTTTTTAAGTTCACTATATAATCTATATAACACACACACACACAAACACACACACACACACACACACACACAGGTGAATCGCTATATGCCACCGCATCGCAGATGCTGCGGTGGCATAAAAATAATTTCTTCTCCTATAAAATAATTATTCTAACGAGAAGGCATCCAATAAAACATATTCTCCTACTTATATAAACTTTTAATGAAGATAACGCTGACTGATTTATAATCAATCTTCTACAATAAATACATACATCTCAGGAAATGCACAATATGTTGTTTTAAATCATTTGAAATTTATTATCAAAGTTGCCGATATCGCAATCTGCTAACAAGTGCAAAAACACAAATAATAAGTGCCAAGGAATAGTGATAAAATGCAAAGCGATAAAATGCAACCTGAAGGTGCTCACTTATAATTTGTTGAAAACCACAAAAATAAGCTATCAATAATCATTATTCAACTTGATAAGATACCAAAGTATTAGATGTATAAACCGTATTACACAGTATTTTAATTTTTTTTTTTCAGAAAGATGGGTTAGCATACAGTATGAAAGAATATTTAACAATATCTAGATGTCTGAAAATGGAACCAAATTTTTAAAAGATTTTTTAGTTTTCAAGGGAAGGCAAACTGGGTCATTATCATCAATATTTACAATTCAAAAAGCTAAATGATGACCACCAGTTTCCATGGTTTCTTTAGGATATTCAGTTTATAAACACTTTTAGTCCACTTTATTATTTCTTTTGAAAACTAGCTAATGTGAAATCAGATTAAATGAAACTGACATACAATGTTATGTTGGCACTGACTCACTGAAAATGTGTTAAATGGCTCTTAAGACTTTTTTCCAAAAGTTTCTAATAGTTCTAATAGTGTATCAATGATGATTAGGACTGAAATTATTGAAGGTCACAGAGTAGTTTTGCCGTCAGTCTTTCTATAGTAACAACATGCAAAATCAACCAACTGTAGATGTTAAAATTAAGAATTAATTTGGGGAAAAAAAACAAAATTTGTGCTCATACATTCATATATCAATCATACACTTACTTTAAATGATGCTTGAACCTCTTTTGTTTTCCGCCGTGCAAGAACTTGTATATGACTAGAAACTTGTTTCCTTGACCGCGTCTTGCCGGTCCGTAATTTTATATAGCGAGCTATCAACTCATTTCGACCTGAAATTAAATAACAATTCAAATCAATGATAAAATAATTTGATTAGAATTTAAATAAAAATAATGGGGTTATCAGTAAGTGTATTTCATATTTCAGGAAAAAAGTAATTTGTGATGAATGATGAAATATTGGATGAAGAAAAAACATTGTCATTATTGAAACATTTTTATAAATTTCTTCAGGCAAAGATTTCTAATGAAATATCAACTGGAAGATCCAGGATATACATGTATTTTGTTTATAAGGGAATTTCCTATAAATCTAGACCTGTTTTTCTATAATAAAACAGCATTTTTTAAGGTTAATTTTCCATTAATATAGACCTGTTTGTCTATAATAAAACAGCTTTTTGTAAGCAATGATCCGAAATGGAAACAATTCTTATTCATTCTGCAAACTTAACACCTCTTCCACAGGACCAAACACAACTGTATTATACATGTATATGATTGTATCAAATGAAAATATCAAACTTTGCTAGAAAATAAAACACAAATTTCTTGCACTTTTTTTTTTTTTAATTTTGAACTAAGATCTTTCTCCCCAAAAATAAGTTTTAATACTTTAACAATAGCCACTTGATAAAGATTTGTTGAAGACAAGGTATTGTTGTACACTGAGGTCAATAGTACCTTTTTATACCTTGTTCAAACATACTGACTAACACTATATGTAAATATTTGCTCCATAAATTATAAACCTATTTAATAAACCTTATATTGTTATCATTTTGGATCATAAAATATTATGCCACAAGCCCTAATACAACATTTCACAAGCGATAAATAAGGCCATGAAGCTTTTAGTCTTTTATAGGACAGGTTTGGTAGGGTTAAATTTTAACTCTATTAAAGTGGTTACTTGGTCTAATCATTATTTTAATATAGAAAATATCAAATCAATGTGTTTGCTTGGTATCTTAATTGATTGATGCGAATTTATTCAACAAATCATTATGTAATGAAACGACCTTTTTTTTATTTACATTCTGAGAAAATGTTGCCACATGACATGAATTTCTAGGGGTAGCTTTAAAAGAAATGCAAACAAATGAGGATATCCAGTTTCAAAGCAAAACAATCAAATTACATAAAGAGACAAAATGTAAGGGATAAAAAGAAATCCAAATGATGCCTTGCAAATTTTCCTTATTGCTTTACAAAATGTTTATAACTATTATTTTTTACCTTAAATCTTGAACCACACTAGCATTGGTGCAAGCTAAAAATATCAGAAAACCTAAAACTCTGAATTTAGTATTATTTCAATTGGTTTCATATTATATAGAAATCAAAAAGAGAGCTTTCAAGAGTAGAAAAATGCCTGATAACTTGTACCCACCCATGCACTTAGATACAACAGTAAAGACTCTTTAATAATTGACCATTTAATACCTTTGGTCAGTGGGCCATTTTACAAATGTATGAATCAATGACCCAGCTATAAACAGCCAGATACACCTGACAATCTGTGAAGTATGATATATGATTACTAACAGTTCAATACATCTTATAGAAATTGATTATCTGTCACCATCGGGACTAGTGTCATACTGAAGGAAATATTTTTGAAAAGTCCATCTCGCCTTTAACAGGGCCGGCAAAATCTGAATTTGACTTACTTGTCTGTATTGCCTGAAACATATTTTTACTTGTATGTATGATATTTAAGAACTATGATCTGGAAAAATGTTCACTTGTCCGTATAGGCTGGCTAATAAGGCTTTGGGACAACCTGGGTAATTTGGAGAATTAATTAACTGTCCCTGTTAAATGATTCTCTATAGTTCATCTTCTTATTACTTAAATGCTTATATTTCATGTAAAAGTTGAAACTTTTAATATTTCAAGTTTCAAGTATGATACCTTATATATCCATGGATGGCTGACCGCAAAACTGTTGTAAGTCCTTCTTTATTTTACATTTTGTATATAAGTTATCAGAGGTGGTCAGTCACATTAGATGTGAAGAAAAATAATTTTGTCAAACATTAACCAGTTTCCTATGAAATTCAAAATACATTGTCAAATTGGCTTTACATTGCTCCTTATGGCATGTCAAGGATTTGATTAGAAAAAAATTGAGGAAAAAAATTGTAATAATTTTAACATGAAAAAAAAATCAATCTATTGTTACATGTAGCTTGTAGAATAAAATGATTACAAGTCGGACTTTGTTACATAAAAGCCAATTAACCAATTGAAGCAGATTTCTTAATTAAGATGTCATAAAAGATTTTGTCGTCATTTATTTTGAACTGAATGAAATCTGCATGTTTTTTTGGAACACTATTATTACTTTCTACATTCCCATAGAATTAATTCAAATGTACAAGAAAAGCCCTTAGAAAGAATTTATTATATAATGCACTAGAAGTAACCAAATTAATATGACAGATGCAAAAAATTGTAAAAACCCCAGAATAATTAAATGCTAGAGGGACAAATAAAGATTGCATGAATTGATTGCATATTGTTGACCATAATGAATACTTAAAGCAATCATCATTCTGATTTTTAAGTAGTTTTTATGTTTAAATTATTAGTTATAGAGGCGCTTTTTTATTGACAAAGAAATGTCCCTTTTTATAGATCCCTATAGAAGTCAGCAGGTCTTAAATAGCGAAACCAAAGTTTTCTGAAAGGTATCAATTAAGGGACGATTTTAAACAATGATCGAAAAGGATTTAAACCTTAAGTTAAAGTTGAAAGTAATTTTTTGCCTCATTTACGAAGCCAGTAAACTTTCTGCATAATTGAAAGTAAAGTACCATCAAGTGCACAACCCTCTTGCATTTCAGTGCACTTTGTAACAATTTGGGTAATTTATTTCCAATTAAACATTTAATCCTTTAAAAGTAACCTTAAAATTGATTAAACTAAAGAACCTATGAAAAAACAAGCATTAATTTTATTAGCCAAAACCATGACATGTTTTTAATAGTGTTACACGTTATTTATATGTCTGACCAAAATTCACATAATGACATAAAACAAAGTAAATATAGCTGTTTCATAGACATTAGCTTAACCATTCACCCTTGTTATATACATCTTTTCCACTTACTTTCAAGATGAATTTTACAGCTCTTAATGGTTTTGTTATGTTTTACCTTTACATTATGTTTTTTTATGATCAAAGCTTTTTAACAGGACTTTTGAATAATACACCTACATCAATGTTTTAAGTGTGTAAATGTTACACCTGGTGATATATGTGTGTGTGTTAAAAAACCAAAGCTTGACAAGGGTACAGAAAACCAGAGTGTTTAAACCAAGTTGTCAATGACATTTATTATTTGTACAGGTGAATACATATAGGTAAACTACACAGGGATTGCCAAACATAATTACTCAACTTTTATGACTCATCTAGATTTCGGGCTATAGGAACTATATACAATCTTTATATTTTGCTCTAATTCAAGGTAAACGTAGATGAGATAAATACACTGTAGTGTAATACAAGCAAAACCTGCCTAAAGCTACTGCAGACAAACTGATACCTACAAAACAACTTGTTGTATACAGCTTGTACAAATTCAATTTTGCAGGTAAACATGCAAGGCCTGTAGTAAACATCTAATGAAAAGTTTTTATATATAGGACAGCATCGCTGCATTTCCAAGATTTGTGAAGATTTTCAGGGTTTGATAAGATTACTAGTTCTTCAAAATGCAGCAATATTTCTAAGATCATATACTATGGTAAATTTTTAAGATCATATACTATGGTAAAGCATTAATATCATTTTACAAATCTAATCTATATTCTCTTACAATTCTCAGATTTATAACTTTAATAAAAATACTGGTAGGTCAAGTAAACATCAACAAAAACAAAGCTATGAAAATTGCACCAATTTTGTAAACATGACAATTTCAAACTATTCTCTTTCAAGTCAACGGATGTTTTCACTGCTGAATGGTAAACTGGTAAAGGGTGCTGACTTTAAATTGACAATTGCCCTGCAAGCTGTTGGTTTGAATCCTGCTGTAAGTAAAACATCTAGCACATCTATTGCAGGCTGGTTGTTACACCCATTTACTGCAATTGATTATGTGTCTGAAAATATGCACAGAGGAGCACCAGAATTCTTCCTCTCAATGACACAAGGTAAGTCTTTATAGAACCCTTCCAGTTCTGCTATGACTTTCAGCTACTGGTCAATTTTACTACCTAATACTTAATCTATTAAACCCTAAATAGACTATTCCAAATTTACAGAAGGGCAATTCAATTGCATTATGTACAGAAGGGCAGGGCAATTCCATTGCATTATTTACAGAAGGGCAGGGCAATTCCGTTGCCTTATCAGAAGGGATTCAATTTGTGTTTCATAACATTATGTTACCTTGTGACCAACTGGATAGTTTCATAACATAAGGCTACCTAGACTGTTAAACTGAACAAAGGCCTGTAGCTTCTTATCAAGAATATGATCAGTAAACAGGATTTACCTCATTACACTGTTATAGCAGATTATACTTAAATATATAACAAAAGCTTGCTTGTATGTATCATCATTCTGAAACATAAAGCTCCATGAAATGTTTACATCAGCAGATATATGCTGACATCAGCAAAACGATTATTCACCAAACCAAAATCTGACATCAGCAACGTGTTTAAACCATGAAACACCGATATTCACCGCATCTACCAGCTAATAAAAACCTTAAACTTTAAAATTTATTGCAATTTTCAACGTATAAGGTCATTTTAAACCTAAAACTTTAATGACAAGTTTTGAATGGATAAAAATCTTCAAAGCGTTTCTGACAAGTTAATTTTCCGAGGCAAAATAGTATTTTATATTACTTGTCTACAGACTTGAAGGATATAAAGAAGACTCTTTAAAAATAATAAGACTTTGTTGTAATGTAACAAAGCATACAAAAACTTAAAAACTATCATACACAAAAAAGGGCTGTTTCAGATGTATTGTTCAGTTCTTGAGTTACCATTTTTTATGTGATCTTCATCTTAGATAAAAACATCGTTCTATTCAAGGTAAATGACTCATGTCTGTGCAAACAAAAACAAGAATATCAAAGACATAATTAGAAGTTGGGGGATTTTTTGTGGGACTGTAAAAACAAAACAAAAACATCATCTTAAATGACAAGCTTTGAAGAGTTGTAAAAAAACCAGTTAAAAAAACTCTATATTTTTGCATTTTTTATCCCTGAACTTTGTAATCAATAATAATTAAATAACATCTGATGTGTGCTTTGATGTTATTTAATACTAATTAAACAATTAAAACATTGATGTTATTTATAAATTAAGGGATGTTAACAGAAAATTTTTAATTTGTTTTTGTGTCTTTTCATTGTTATAATTAAGCAGGCACATCAGTCTGTGCCGTCTGCACTGTTAACTTTTCAGTCATTACATATCTTGAAATTTTCCATAAAATAATAAATAGTTTTGCCTGAATTGAAAGATGGAGGAGTTTCATCTTTTGCTTCTGTTGCCTTCCAGCAATTAGTACAGTTATAGTGATTTATTATTTTGTAGGAAAGTCAAAATACTACTTTGTTTACATTTTGCTATTTTTATGACAAATTATTTCACATTCAGTGCTACTTTCTTCAGACGAAAAGCACCTAACATCCTCTTAAAGAATTGTTTAAACATTTTAAATTGTTTATATTTTCCCTTTCTAAAGAATATATGAGCTATGTCACGACAAAACCAACATAATGGGTTTGCGACCAGCATGGACCCAGACCAGCCTGCGCATCCGCGCAGTCTGATCAGGATCCATGCTGTTCGCTTACTAACTCTATTACAAGTAGAGAAACTAATAGCGAACAGCATGGATCCTGATCAGACTACGCGGATGCGCAGGCTGATCTGGATCCATGCTGGTCACAAACACACTATGTTGGTTTTGTCATGACACGGCTCATATTATATTTTGTTTGTTTCTGATCTGAAGCATAATGTGCCTTTAAATATTAACAAACTTATATATGAATCTAATGTAAATCCATAGCATAAGTAACTTAATTCTTTAGAATATTTCAGTGTGAATATCCTCATCTCTTAAATTCAAATCTCAAAAGAAAATGCCAAATAAGCAACTTTTTTAAGTCTGATAAATGATACTGTTATATTTCTTTACTACATTATTAACTATAAACCTTAATTCGTAATGTTAACTATAAAATCTTCTTTCCTTAACAAAAAAACAACCCGTTTAGCATAAATGTCACATAAAGGTAATAGTAATACCCTTCTTAGACACTATCGTTTGATAGTGAATCTAAATGGAAAACCTATCCCCTACTATAACCAATTTTCCCTGTAAAAAAAGAAACCTGTATGGTAAACAAGTCTTATTCACACAAGTGTATACATTATATTCTGTGAAAACAACATTTCGCTACATATATCATGACACACCTTGAAGTTAAAACCATAATTTTATCACCTTTTTCGTTATGATAGCTGGGGCAAGTAAATAGAAATGATTTAGATGATACTCCATGACTGACATGTCATTATTATATTTTAATTAATAAACATTTACAAGTGTATTAATGTGAAAGTATCATGATTATAATACAAACTGTATTGAAAACAATTAGAGATATATATATAAGCAATTTTATAAATAAAATTTTAGTTTTTAATTATATGACATACATAAATTTATTTTCTTGTAAGTATTTATTTTATTGTAAGTATAAATGAAAAATTAGAGAGATGTTTGTTACAATTATCATTATTAATTGCAAGATGAAATTTCCCTCCTGAAAGTTTTCAGTGTATTAAATTTTTTTCCCATTTCCTTGCAAAAGATTTGTCAAGTTGTTTTTTCCTTAACCTATAATGCTTTGACTACAAAACATTTTTTTAGGATTTACATTCACCAAATTAAAGCAAAATTACAAGAACTTAAATTTTCTTTTAAAAGATATGTTCTTTTTTTTATATTGAACTTGCTTTTAATGTGTTTGCTAATGTAGCAAATGTATTAAATAAATTTTGTTAACTAAATCTACAAAGTTAAACCTTTAAAGTCGTATACATAAATTATAGGACAAAACACTGATTATTTTGTATGAGTCAGACGCTACAAAAAAGATCAGTTACTATAAATACCCTTATTTAAGATCTGGCCTTGTTAAGAACATATAGAAACCTAAAGCAGCTACAATTGTTCAAAAGTCTTATCAACCCAACCAATCCTTACAAGATAAAAAGATTAATCTAGTTTTCTGTGTTCAAATTGCAGTTCAAACACTGCCAAAACAATAGATTTTTGTTTTTAAATCATGGCCATGTATTGTGCCAATAATAAAGCTTATATAAAACACCTATTCATTGCCAAAAACAGCCGAAAATACGTTTCACGTCATTAACCATGGTAGAATAGCGAAAAAAAAACACTCCCACAAGATCTAACGATAGATCTATTTTACGCAATCTATGAAATATAGGATCCTTTACAATGGGACATTTCACGATTGAGCAGATTTGGATTACTACGGATTTCTTCAACATTACTTCCCGATACCTATGTGGCCATTTAACAATACCAAAAATTTCAAACATTTTCAATTCACACTATATCTGCAATCCGTACATATTTCACGTTCCTTAGATAGTGTAGAATGGGGGCAATATTTCATTTATAGCACAATATTTGTTTGGGTTCAAATTAAATAGAGCAAAGCATTATAAATTTAATTTTCAAATACAATATTTAAGTGCATTATTTGGATGACTTTTGACACAATCCTAGTGCTCTAGCTCAGAATATCCAACTGAAATGGCAGTGGCATTTAAAATGCCTAAATAATTGTATTAAATGGTATCCTTTTTTTTTTCTTTTTTGCTATTTAATGTAATGTTTTCCCTGAAAAATGTTTTCATTTAACTCATAAGTATTAAAGAATACCTACCATACATTTTGCCTTCATCAGATAGAATAATTTTCCGCCTTCCACACGGTGGATAAATTGCTAATGCCTCCTGAAAACTCTGTTCAATATCCGGACTCCAAACCCCCTCGGCGTCATTACCCAATTCATCATCGTTCAAATCGTCCTCATTTTCTGATTTTGGTGGTGGGGGAACAGAGGGGCCATTGTTTGGCACTGATGGTGGGACATCCATATTGCCCCAGGATTTGGACATAAAACCAGACTCTGATTTCGGTACTCCGTTGTTGTTGTTGTTATTGTTGGGTATTGAAGATGGATCAAGATTCCCCCATGATGTTGTTGACATGATATGGGGAACAAATGGTAAAATCCTGGAAATAAATTAAAAATATATGAATACTTGGTATTCTTTTAATAACAAAAGCATTCAAAAGTCCATAATTAGATTTGTCCTAAAAAATGTTTCAATTTCTGACCTTTAAGTTTTCTCTCCACCTACACAATGAAAAGACTACACACAAAACACAAAAAATGATAACCAATTCAGTATCTATTATATTGCATAAAAAATGATTTTTTTTTAAAAAATACAAATTGTACAAATGTGCAAAAATAGAAGATCTTATGAGAGCCTTATTTCCCTGTGTGCAAAAACATGTCAAATTGATGGAATTACAATTTCTTCTTTTATAATTAAAATATAAAACTTCTTGTAAATTAAAAAGAGTTCCATATAAGAACATAATTTCTTAAAGCAAAAACAAGCATTCATAAGACTATAAAAATGATCAGTACCTTGATTTCCTGGCTTGAAAGCCATCATAATTATCATAAGGATGAAATTTAGATCTAAACATTACATTTTCATAAGAATTATATGTAGAGCTATCAAAAAAGTCTCTATAGTCATAGCTTTGATTGCCGTACATATCCATTGCTAGTAAACGATTAAAAACCATCAGAAAAATCATTCAAATATCTTTAATTCCTTTGCCATACTCTCTGTAACGAAATATTTTGCACTAATTTCTTAATTTCGTAGCACCATATAAGTCTGTTATTAATCCATAATAACTAATTGCAAATGATGCCGAATTCACCATACTCAGGAGAATGACAGCTATATGTTACCAATCAATCTTCTATAACTATAAATATTGAACAGATGCATTAAAAATAGATTGTACACTATTTGAAGCATTAGAATTAACATAATTATAATAGTTTCTCAGGACAAAACAATCTAATTTCCATTCACCCTCCAATAAACGAACAGCATTACAATTATTACACAAAGTATCAAAGCCACTCTTAAATCAATTTTACAAAGATAAATTCAAAGTTGAAATACATAGATATTATTTCTGAACCTAATAAGGTTATAGAAATAGGGAACTTGGCTGCACTGTAATGTAATTCATACATCATAAAACATAGCAGTTATGATGCTTTCAAACACATTAAAGACAATCAAAATCCTCTTAATATTGTATGTTAACCAGTATAACTATAATTCATTGGAAGTAGCAAGCAATACAGGACACATATATCTCACTAATGCACTGGAAAAAGGTAATGCTGGTTTCAGAAGTATTTTCAAGTGTACAATGATTTTTCAGAAAAAAGGGGCATAACTTTGCCAAAATCTAGGGAAGAGTTATGAAGCTTGGCATGCTGAAAATTTGACCCTCCAGTTTCAAATTAAAACCTGTACTCATTTCACAATATTGAAGAAAAACTGTTGACACAGGATGAGATTAAGTGATTCTTAAAAAGCCATCCCCCCCAATCACTTTGGATTGTAGCAGAACAAAGCAGAAGGATCAACTTAAATAGCATTTGTTATAAAACAGTCAGAGGTCATTTTAGAATAACATATATAAAATATAATTTATTCACAAGTAAAACTTATTTGCAACTGTTTTTCTTTACAATTTATTTAATAGAACAACTATATGTTATTTTATCTTAGCCTAAGTATTAATTGGCACCGAACAAATGTTTACAATCATCTGCCAAAACTGATGCATCCATAAAGTGATGTCCTTACGCAACAAAACCTTTGTCATTACAAATTCTGAAAAGTTCACAACAAAGTGGTGCTGCATGGAATATTAAATGTCCAGATCTGAAATTGAGATAACCCTGTCATCTTTACAGTAAAGATGTCACTTAGATCTGGTGTGAGTAGACACACCTTTCTATTTACAACTTTCTCTACATAGGCTGTTTATGATAAAGGAGCAGAAATCACAGCCTTCAATAAAATCATGTCATTCATTCATGGAAATTACGCCACTCATAATTCAAAATATCCTGCCTAAAAGGTAAATACGTGAGCTGAAATGGAAAGTAAGACATCACCAACTCATCATAAACCCATTGCCTTTTCAATATATAAATAAACATGGCTTACAATTACAAACTCAAGCATTTTTTAAGGTTGAATGCTAACCTCTGACTCAATCTAAATACCATTTTATCTAGAGCTAGATAAAATCAAAATTATACAGTCTAAATATGACATAAATATGGTAACATCAGCCAAGTTTTCTGTAATTCTCATTCCAAACAGTCCTGCGTAGTGCTAAAAGCATGCAATATTAATATCTCCCAAGCCACTGGTTACAATATAACAGAAACTGATAACCCCAGCAACCTTTTCTTGTGACATTATCTGTTACTGAATCATGATACAATGTTGCATATGTCACAAAATATCATTGTACGAAACAATACATAGTTATGCAAGTGAAAATGTCAACTAAAATGAAAATGATGGTGAAGTTATTACAATCATAACACTGGATAAATAAATTTGACAGCAGCATCATTATTGGTCACAACGGCATTCTTATCACAGAGTCATTTGTTACAGTTCTAGGAAACTGGAAAGTGACTCAAACTATTATCATGTGTTATTTAAATGATGTCCATGCCGTCATTTAAAAAAAAAAATGTACATTTGTATAGTTATAGCTAAAGCCAAAATTATCAATGATATACTGATATATCAAATTGTATAGCTAGTAAAGTGACAACCATTTGAATACATGAATTTTTATACTGGCCCTACCCTGCAAAAGTAGTCAAAAGGATTTTAGCAATCAAAATAACAAATATGGGAAGCCTGATCAATTTACCAAAAAGGGTACAAGCATTCAGATAAAAGTTAATTCTTAAAATTAGTTTCATACATAAAGAGATTTAAAAAGTTTCAAGCCAGCATGTGATCCCTTAATAAATTCTTTATATAGTTAATAAATACATTTAGAACATATTAATTATTTTAGCAAGAACATATCAATCTTATCTTTGACCAAGAATTGTTGAACACTAAAAGTAAATTGAGATCATTGAAGAATATGATGCATCTATTTTTTTTTATAAATATCAAATGTACCAGAGACATATAAATTATTCTACATGACAAGGTAAACATGTGATGAACTTAAGATTCACCTCATTGTTAAAGAAAACAAATATATAATAAATTTCTTCAAACTTAAAATTTCCATTTATAGATCCATTTATCCAGTGTTTAGACTGCTTAACAATAGGTCATGCATTTGATGAAATACAAAATGAACTTACATGATAAACAAGAATCATACAGTGATCTGGAAATTTATACAATACATATATACATGTTGATATATCTATTTTCCCATTAATGTTCTAATTAAGATACATAACAATTGATGATTGTTTTGCAATGAAATAATACACATGTGTGTGTACATTCTTTTAGATAATTAGTACTTAGAAAATAGTACCAAGTGAACCCCTTAATAGAAATGTCAAATGGCAACAAATTGGATTCACAAATATTTTAATTAAAATTTTAATTATCTTTCAATTTACTACATGTATACAGGTGTAAAAAATACATATTAATACATGAAAGAATATCCCAACAAAATTGTGTACATAAACATCAATTTATAAGACGATTATTGTGTACATGTATATATAGATGTCAGAAACTGTATATCAGCTGTTTGGTCATGTCAGCTTTGACCTATTTTCTTCCAAATAGTAGACAGGTGCTCAATTAACTTTCATAAAAATAGAGGTATTAGCAATTTTCTATCGAAACAATTTGCAATCATATAATGACAGCCATATGCATTATGAAGCTAATAGCACCTTCTGTAGATGCTTGCAGAATCGCATGCAAACACTGCGGCATACTCGTCTGCAATTTTCTCTCTTACCCGTTCTTTTTACCTCCCGCGTGCAACAAGACGCGATTTCGGCTGGCGAAAACTCCAAAAACTGGGTCATATCCTTTGAACGAGTATCATACTCGTATATATCTAATATCACTTTATCAAATATCTTACTGTAACACTTTAAATCCATCTTGAATTCTGTTAAATCAATATTTTTATGTGAAGACATTTCAAAGTCATACACCCGCCGGAAGTACTGTCTAGAAGTATGACAAATATTTCAGTGATTTCGAATCTCGAGCCGACATTTTTCACTGTCCGAGCACGATTTCTTCCTTTAAAACGAATGATTCTTAAATTTTTAAAGGCAAATGTACAAGTACTTACCGTTACTAAGTATCCGTAGGGTAAATGACCACCAATAATGTTTTAAAAACTTAATTTAAGTCAAAAACTGCAGATTCAAAGGTATGTCAGGAATGATACAAAGAATCTCGACTACGTACACGTTCACTGCGCATGGCCCACGCGCAGGGGTGGACCAGGTGTAAATTGGCGGCGCTTTTGATTGGTTAAATTACTCGACTGTGTCTATTATGTCGTCATATTATGCTAAAAATATCAAAGGTGTACAACTTATACACAAACGAAGACGTTACTGTGTATTTAACCGCAAAGTGCGTTATGAGTCATTGATATATGCATGTATAAAACATAATAAAACTGATCTGAAAAGACAACTTTAGTTTAGTTGTCGTCTTTTTGTTCATGCATACATGTATCGTTTAGAAAATATATGGTGTTAGACTAGTGTTAAGATTTCTCTTTAACTATACATGTTTTAACGCGCGCACATTATTAAACCAGCGCTAATGATTATCAGTTTGTATTTTATTTAAATTGCAATGTAAAAAAAAATACTTTCAATGTGCTGTACCAATAAACTATGAAAGTATCCAATTTACAAATAAAAATATGATATAGATGTATATGGACCAAAAGCTTAATTATTTCAAATTTTCACTTTCAACATTTTTTTATATATACTGTAGAATCTACAGTTATTAAGATTGATAAATCTAAATTTATTCATTTAAACGTATACAAAATGCACATTATCGCAAAAAAAACATGCACGTGTTTCATTTACACTAGAATTAATTATAACATAATTGTAATAATGCACTTGCTATTAACAATATGACGTTAATCTTTTATAAAGAATATAAAGTAATGAAGTAAAAGTAATCGGCTTTTCAATTTTGTTGAAATGGTCTCGCATAATAATTATGAAAATTTAGTAAGAAAGTTAGACGATACAAATCATTTGAGAGTATTAAGTAACAGGTTGAGTAATAGATTTGAGTCGCGAACCGGTAATTTTTAGAAATTTGAAATATTGAAAAAGATCCAAATTAAATAGGTCAACCTACGAATAAAATGGTTGTCTGCCGAAGAATATCGTTTTTTCTCTAAAAACCTCCCAATATAAACTTCGTATTTACTTATCACGAGCACGTGGGGGCCTAATCATAATATGCACGTGTGTATTGGGCATGATCAGCTGGCAATGCTGGTGACCGATTTTTATTTATTTTTTTTTTAACTTATTCTAGATTTTTATCAAGATGGGTAGACAAACCACCTCCACAAACCTGTACACAAATCGATAAAACGGCCGTAAAACCTGCAGTCTTGATCATTGATAAGGATGTTTCTTGCACATGTGTAGAAAATCCCTGGTAACGGGGCACCCCGGGGTCACCATCAATCATATCTTTATTGTAAAACGTCAAACTACCCTTGTTATCTCTGTCGCATTTACGATGGATAATTGAAAGATACGACAAGAAACAAGTGTGAGACTTAAAGGATGAAAATTGATCCACCGTGGAGCATCTAATCGATTGTCTTTTTGACAGCTATTGACACAACTAATCGGAAGTGTAACGGGAAAAATTAAGATCAAATTTTGATGTTTAAAAAATATATTGACAGCGATATTATGTAAGTAACAAAAAGGGCATATATTTGCTGATTGTTCCTGATCCTATATCCGCTGTCCTTATCACCAGGAACTGAACAAAATATTCCTGAATCATATCATTTCCTAAATAATAATGCTGTATAGTATTTCAACGGGTCTTTCTTACCTGGTCCAATGGTTGAGAATTCATTGCAAAAAATAGCTAATTTTTTATACAAGTTACCACATAACTATACGTACATGCACGTGAATCATATCAGAACATCTTTGAACTTAACGGAAATGGAAGACATGCAAAGATCTCAATTACTTCATTAAGCAAAATTAAGCGCACAGTCATCGAAACAGAACCGATATTTTAAAGACAGACACAGTATTTGATTAACCTATGAAATGTTGTTTCCTTCATTGACCCTGTCAGTATTGTGAACTGCACATGACATGTTTGGTCTTAACGTTTTATCATCTTTTCATTTAGGAATATTGCATTATACTGCAAAATTGCTACAACTCAGAAATAAATGTTAAAGCAATAATATCAAAGTTTCTTACTTTTTTTTCAAATATTGCACCACATGACAATTCGTATGTATAACATTCAGATTATCTATGGATTCAATTTGTAATCTTTTCAGCACAACTTATTGCAAAACCTAAAAGTCTAATTGTGGTTTCCAAACTGACAGTTCCATCTTAACGATCCAAAATTTATAACTTTATATATAAGGCACTATGTAAATTAAAACCTGTCTCTCTAATATTATAAAAGGTTAAACCTGTTAATTTCTACATGTTCATATTCGGCTTTGCAGGTGGAGGGAGATTCAAGTTACTTCTCTGGGCCTTATTTCTAAGCATTGTGGGAACGGAGTAGAATGACACTGACCCTGCAACCAGCTTGGGTAGACTCGTGTCAATCCTAAGTTTAAGTATTAGCTGCATTGTCACAGTATAATCTGGCCTGGCTTTCACTAACGTTTTCAAACTGAGACAAATCTCAACCCGAGACTGTCTCAATATTGACGGAGATTCTAACTCATTCTGGTCACCTATCAGCAGTCTGATTACACTGGTGGTTGCTACCCTTAGCCCAAGTTTTTTTGTAATAAATTTTCCCATCTCATATTTTTGGAACGGTCCATTATTAGTCCTGGGGATGTCATGATGAAAACATGGTCAAGCAACAGTATAGAGTCTGGTCAGACTGTACCAATGTCCAACATGGCCTGGCTCTATACTGGTGGTAAATGGTACTCACTTTTGTTCCAGCAGATTCAGGGTTAATTTCAATATTTCGATATGAAAATTATGTTAACTACAATTGGATAATTCAAATTTATGTTAACTACAATTGTATAGTAACATATTCAATGTTGGAAGACTCCATTCAAACAAACAATTCAGGAGGGTCATTTAAAGTGAGTCAAAGTCAGTTACCTTGGTTAACAGCTACTTCTTTTTTTCGTCCAGTCATTTTAAACTGCTTCTTTAAATTTATGTGCACTTTTTTACATTAAGTACATGAAGTTAGCAAAATGATACTGTTTACAATAATAACTGGACAATTCCAACCTTTAAAGTGGGTTAAATAATCAACACAAAGTGAAAAAAAATTTTTTTTAATTTTATTTTTCTCATTTTAATTTAAATAGTTTTACATATTACAATATACATAGCACCATAAAAGTCTAAAAATGGTATAATAGAGTTCTTCATGTATATTCATGTATATACTAAATGATAAACAATTTACATCTTAGAGAAACCAACAGGAAACAAAACAAGAGCTGTCCGTAAGACAGCGCGCTCGACTTTTTTATTGCTTGCCAATAAAAAAAGTTTTTGCAGTAAAAGGCAATACAAGAATCTCTGTATTTTTAAAGTGAACAATGGCCATGAGCATTAAGATATTTAGTGAAGAATTATTTTACTGAATTGTGTGATACCCTTGAACACTGCAGCAAAGTTTGAAATGTTTAAGTCAAAAGAGGGCTGGTAAGAAAGAAAAAAAAACTAAGTCGATAAAAGGCCTTAATTTTTAAAACAAATCCTTGACAGAGTTACCTTCTCTTGCGTACAGATGGGGGTAATGATGTGAAATAGCATTAAAAGTTTCAAAGCAATATCTCAAAGGGTTAAGGCAATAAGTGGATTTTACCCATATTCAATGTATTTTCTAAGTCAAAAAGGGGCATAATTCTGTCAAAAACCTTGACAGAGTTATGTCTCTTGTCTGTTGATGAAGTCGTGATGGTAAACAAGTATGGTCAGTTTCAAAGCAATACCTCCAATGGTTTTGAAATAAAGTGAGGTGGTACAAAAAACTTAACAAGCTCAATACACTTTCTAAGTCAAAAAAGGGCCATAATTCTGTTCAAAAACCTTGACAGAGTTATGTACTCTTGTCTGTAGATGGAGGTTATGATGGTGAACAAGTATGGTAAGTTTCAAAGCCATACTTGTAATACTTCTGAAATAAAGTGGGGTGGTACGAAAAAACTTAACCAAGGTGTGACGCCAACGCCGACGCCGACGCCGGGGCGAGTAGGATAGCTCCCCTTTTCATAGAAAAGTCGAGCTAAAAATGTTCACTTGTAAAGAGTAACAACAAAAAGCTTGATTAGTTGTTTACTATAAAAGCTTTATATAAATATGCATGCAATGTACTCACTATGTAGTAACAATTATGACAAAACACATAACATATGAAAATGTTACATATGAAAATGTAACAAAGGCTATAATTGAAAAAAATATCCTCCAACAAACATTATCCCCTTTATTAATCTCTTCACTCAGGCAATACTATCAATAAATTCAACAAGTCAAACAAAGTAACTAGAAATAAGACTACAACTTAGCTTAATCAAGTAAGACAAAAATTTTAATATTAGTGGGCCAAATCCTCTGATTCTAGTCTACCAAGCCAAAAAAAAAAAGACCAACAAAGTCCCTTTAAATCCATTAATATTTTCCAAATAATTCAAATTTTAGAAGTTACAGTAACTTTTATGCAGTTTAACCAAGTTGAACAAAAATTAAACGCTTATGAAGTTTACCAAGTTAACAAACAGTTGACCAAACTTTTGTGTGGTAAAAGTTTACATATTTTAGGAAAGTACAAGTGGTAAATGCCCAGACTAGTAATCTAAGGATTGCTGGCTGCATGGGTTCAAACCCTGTCATGGACAAGAGTTTCTTCTTGACCAATAAATGTGGATAACTTAAAATTGTAACTAATCTCTAGTCATCATTCCCCAACCTGTTGGAACCAAAACTGACTGGCCTTTGCCATTTGAATAGAGCCAAGCCTGCCTGTATTTTGCTTGCAGACTAACCAGGCTCTACCCTGTAGGTTCCTAAATTTCTTTTATGTTAAGATTGACATCTTGACTGTTCCAAATTCAAAGCTGCACAAATTCATTAAACAAATTCAGCAGGCTCCAGGTTTACAATAATTGATATACAAAAAGTCATGTACATCTAATTATAATTTGAACAATTTGAGAGTTGATTTTTATTTGACAGTTAACAATAAACATGATTTACCATTTTTCAATGTCAACATGACCAGACAGTTGATACAAATACCTCCCTAGATGTCATAATGAAAATGATATTATGTACTTCTTATGCATGCAAAGTAAATGAAATTGTCAATTATGAAAGATTGAAAACAGTGCACATTAACCAAAATCTGAATGTTAAATTAGTGTAATTTGTTTAATGTAAGGAAGTCTGGGGTTAAAGGTCGAATAAATCTAGGGTAGGAACTATATTGAATTTATCATACAGAACCCGGACAGGGAAATATCGTATAATGCTGGAATCGTTCAATCATGGAATTATTGTCATTTATGATACATATATGAATAAGACAATAAAAATAAATACAACATCCATTTTATTCCTGCTGAATAGAAATTCAAATAGGTCATAAATATTGGAATTATGTCATTTTAAATTCTGTAATAATGTGTCATCAAGTCTGCTTGCTCATTAAATTTTATTTGTGCAAATCACTTGATGAATGTGTAGACTCGCCTTTCTGGTTCTAAACTGGTGGCATGAATCCCGGATTTTTCACCTGGGGGGTCACAAAAGTGGTGATTCATATTCCAAAAGTGGGGTGGGATGGGGTGGGGTGTGGACAAGTGTTCCAGAGAGTGTCAAGAGTCAAAATTTTGCAGATTTTCAGTAGTATTTTTTATTTTATGATTTTTGCTTAAAACAAATCATTTAATAAACAAATTGCAAAGAGGTTCGGTGGTCATAATCATCCTCTTGATTAGTGCAAGTATTGGGGGAAAAGACCAAACATTATAATGTTTAATTCCAAAAAAAAGAGAGAAAAATTACATATTTTTACAAATTTTGAGCTGATATAACACTGCCATGCATTGTACTTAAAATCATTTCAAAATTACTAAGAGAAATACATGTATCATATGTATAAAATTGTATTATCTATGCATTGTCTACAAAAAATGTACATATTGTATACCAAAAAAAAATATAACAAAAAAAATATTATGTACAATCTATATGATACAAATATATAATGAAAACTAATAAACATACAAAAAACAAAAACAATCTGTTATATCATGCCTTTAAAAAAAAAAAAAGCAATGTCTACATTACCCTATTTATTCACATATAAGATAGTTAAAACAGGGACTAAATTTTACATTAAAACCAGCAGCATCTTGATTTGACTCACATCTTAAAAGTATTTATAGACATGTATATAACATGTCTTCAATCTTTTTTTAAATACGAGGGTTGTCCGGAAAGTTTGTAGACAAGACTATAAAATAATAATAATCGGTCGTATCAATATGATATTTTGTAATTTTGCTTAAATTTGTATTTGCTTCATATTTCTTCATGAAAGAACGTTTAACATTGCACATTGGTAACTCATGGTTGTATAGAGATTAAAATATTGGTGAAAATTGTTTGTGCTCTTAATTACATATAAGTATCACAAAGATATGCTCAAACTTTTTAGAAGTGGAAAAAGACCTCAGGTGAACCTACTGTGCATTACTTAATGCAAACAAAATTTCTTTATAAATCTTACAATAACTTCAACGAAATTCTATTCCATAAATTACACATATGATATCCTTCATAAATAATGAAAAAGAATATAAAATTAAAAAGAATTCTCTGTTTTTTAAAAAAAATTCTTGCTCAAAGTAACCAGTTTATAGTAAAGAAGAGAAAAACAAAGAAACTGTAAATCAGACTGCTATTTTTTTCAGTACCAGCTGAATGTTCATTAAAACATGTTAAATTCCCATTTGAATAGTTATTATTTATTAATAATAAGTTAAACAACACAAAATCAGGCCTGCATGTGACATTTTTATGATGTTTCAGTCCATTAAAACCCGTTCCATGTCTGGTTTAAAACAATCATAAATATTACAGTGTTACGCTTATGAACATTGTTTTATAGATTTGTTTTAAATGCTGTTAAAAATATTAATATACTGACATCTGTGAAGATTATTAAAATCATCTTTATTGAATTATAAATTATGAGAACATCACATTTTGAATGATTGAGGATGTATCATATTAATTTGATTTTTATGAAAATTAGATAAATAAATAGAAGTTGATTTTGCTGGGGTTTTTTTGGTGTAAATTACTAATATGAGCATTCAGCCATGAAAATGGTACAAAAATCAATACAACAAGAGCTGTCAGTAGGACATGTGGTGTGCTCGACTATTCTCAGTGCTTGATAAATAGAATTTTCTACATTCAGAAAAGCGTCAAAATTCTGTCAAAATCCATGTTAGAGTTATGGGCCTTGGATAGTTACCTCCTATTAAGCTCTCAAATATGTATGTGAAGTTTCAACCCATTCCCTTCAGTAGTTTTGGAGAACTTGCACACATAAAGATAACTGTGACGACAATGCAAATGCTGGGGTGAGTACAATACCTCTCCCTATTCTTCGAACAGTCGAGCTAATAAAATCATAATGATACCAAATTAGAATTCATATAATATAATATACGCTAGTCAAATACAACATCTATATGCTGACACACATGCATTCATTTGCTCTACATTTTAATTTGATTGCCTTAAAAAAACACAACTAAAATTAAACAATAACTGCAATTATGAACGAATAATGATAATATTGGCACTTGTATAATAATAAAGATCTCTTCATCTTGGAGATTCTCCGTTTTGCTGAACTGTTTATTCCATGACCTTGACCTTTCATAGAAATGTCATACATCCATGACCTTTTACGGCATTGGTGTGTCCTTGTACTTAGTGAAAATGTTGTAAAGAACTCTCAAAGTGCACTTCAGGTCAAGGTTAACAACATCTGAAAAAAAACAGACAACAAATTTTATATATATCATATAACCTTTTTGTGTCACATATAGTAAGGTAATAAAGTAAATTTCCAGCTTTACTAGTGGAGGAAGCCCTCAGATGCCTCTGTGTATAATTTCAGGTACAAGCAATGGCATGAGTAGAACCACCCATCTTCTGATGCAAACCCACGTCAGTATCAGTGATTACTAGTAATATCATAATAGTTTGCAGTCACTTGCCAACAATGCTATGGTCCCTATAGGGGCGGGGGTGGGTGGGGGGGGATGAAATACATCGATCCTGAAAGGGGGAAAATGCGATAATTTAATCTCTAAATGAGGAAATTAAATATATATTTCATCTGAGAAAGCTATCTGGCTAGCTTACAAAGGTTAGTAGTTATACTCAGTTGTCTATTTGATCAGATGGGTCAAAGGTCATCTTTAACCAGTTAAATGTAATCTCCTATATAGTGGGAGGGGTGGGGTTAATCCTGCTAAATGTTCATTGTTTTTTGACTGAAGGGAAATAATTTTTTAGGTGACTCCAGTACCACCTACACAAACTTCCTGGATTGCCTTTTTAGGTTGGGTTTTAAGTGACAATAACTTACTTTGTAAATCAAACCAATTTAACAACTGTGACCGAGCACCCGTTTTTTTTTAGGCTTGCCTATTTTTTTGCCATTTTCTATTCATTGAATTTTGATGTTAAGGAGATGTCATTTAGAGAATAGGCAGGTGTGACATTGACTGCTTATAAACAAATGAAAACTGGCAGTTCAATTTAAATTTTGTACTTAAGCTACTATCAATGTCACATACACCAATGTTGTCATGGACAAAATTATAACTAGGAAGCCCGTTTCTTCCCTTTTTTAAGTAGGAATCTGAGGCAATAAATCTCACTTATTTTTACAAATAAAATTTAATACACTCATTATGGCTGCTGTGCAGGAAATGGGTGCAGGGAAAAATGGCTTGTGTCACAATTCAAATTGAAGGTAATCTTTCATTTACTGTACTTCATGATGTTGTAAGGGGACTTGAAGGAGTGGCATGAGGTTGGGAAGGGGGGTGTAGTTGGGGAGAGGTGCATATAAACAAAAGTGATTTAGTAAAATATAGCATATTTCTAGAAATACTTTATCTTTTTTTTGTGCATTGTGTAACAATTATATTTGCATATTTGCTTAACCATCCTCTTACAGTCTATTATTACCATCATAGCTAAATTTAGAAACTACATGTATAAAACATCATAATCAAATCCCTCCTTCCTTCAGAAGTATATAAAGCAACAAAAACCTAAGTAAAAACCCAGACAGACAGAAACTTCATGGCCCCATGTAGATTACGAAAAAGTAACAAGAAATCTATCATAAATCTGTGCACTATACAGGACAATGACCAACCTACTTTATCTAAATTAACATATTAATAGGGTGTCATTAAATAATTCCAATTTATAATTAGCAAGTCTATATAACATTAACGAAGGTACTAATTACAATGAAAGTATCATACCTAATTTTATTGATCATAAATGTTACAAGATTTATTTAAACAGACTAACAAAGTCGGGTTGAAGATATAAATAATACTGAGCTATCAAAAAGGTGAATATTCATTATTAATAAATCTGTTTTTCCAATCATATAAATGAATTTTATTATCTGAATATGACATTTCATAATAATTAAAAACATCACAATGATGTCACTGGCATTTTAAGTGTCTCGTGCTAAATTTCAAAGCTAAAAATCTGTCACATGAAATTTGCGTCTTTAAAATTATCATATCACAGTTCTAACACTATGTGTCTCTTTTTTTTTTTTTTCTGTTGTTTATTTATTCATTTTTTTTTTTGGGGGGTGGGGGGGGGAGTTGGGAATGAGAAATATAATTAATTACCCTCTAACTACTGGAACTGAAAGTTACCAGTATGATCTGGTCTGTAGTACAGACTGAGAACAGTTAATAAATGTTTACAAGTTTGAGCCTTGGTCAAGATATAGAAAGAACACCATACATGTATGTCATCATAATATAGCAATAGTCTTTCTTGCAAAAACATTTTTAACTCCTTTTTCGGGCAGTAACAGTAAAATTAAGTTACGGAAATAAGTTTATTTTTCGCACAAGAGGCATAGCATTGTTGTTTTTGATTTCAATATAGCCTCTGTAAGGAAATAGAATACTGTTGTTTGAACTAAAAGTTCAAATAAGTGTACAATTCTATTCAAAGGATCATTTTTGGGGAGAGGCTAGAATAAGGGTATTAATTCACACTGCAAGAGTCATTAGCATGTATTGTGAATGCACCTGTTGAAGTCTTTTCAATCCCCTTGTTAGTATTGTAAATGACTTGTTGTTAGATTTAATTATATGCGATAATCAGTGCCTGCATGATGATTGGCAACTGTAATTTACTGCTGAGAGATTTTGGGGAAGTTTACAAAACAGCCCCTTGATTGCTTGGACTGATAGTTCAAAGCTTAAGTCAGTCTTTGTTATCTGTTTTATAATTGAAATTCTTTGAACAATTTTTATAAACTTTGCTTTATATGTAATGTGTTTGATATAGGACTTTGCTTAGTTTAAGAATTTAAGTTCGGTGTAATATATATGTTGCAAATAATATGTTAATAATGTCAAGGGCATAATTGTTATGCATATTTTGACATGTAAAAGGTAATTTTTTGCAGAATACTTTGCAAATTTTAATATATATATTATACAAGAGAGTTGTAATTATCTTAATGTCATGTGGTTAATTGACATTTTTCTTGGTTAATTGACATCTTTCTTGATAAATGCATGCCAGGCAGCATTCCTTTCATTGAAACAAAGTTAATTGCAGTATTATTTATGTTTAACCCTTAATTAACCTGCTGAATTTGAAATTTGAACAGTCTTTTCTTATTTTAAGGGATTTCAATATGAAATATATATATATAAAAATTGAGCTTCTTGGTAATTAACAACTGTGTTTAAGAGCCAGCAATCAGACTGCAAGTATTAAGTTCAGATTGCCCTGTCTTATGTATCTTAATCAACCCTAGACCCCTTCCCATGATTATTTCAAGATGTTCATACAAATAACCACTTAGTAAGTAACTTCAACCTGTCAAATGAAGAGTAAAACTGGCAGGCATTTTTGTTCAAATCTGATTCTTTCCACTAAAATAAAAAGAGTCTATTGATGATCTAGCAACCTTGACCAGACTTTAATAAATTAAAACACCCTGCCGATATTGTGTAAGAAGTCCTACTTTGAAGTTTGAACTGTCCTACTGTCCATTGTAAGTTTGTTGGCTTTTTCAACCCTTTACGCACTGATTTCTTGGAAGAAAGTGTCCAAATTTCTATTTACAGAACTGTCCATTATCAATATTTTAGGGAAAATATGTTGTAAAGTATATAGCCAGTTTAGACTGCATGTGTGTGAAAGCTAGACTTGCTCTATACTCGTAGCAAAGACTGTTTACTTTCAGTTCCAATAGAGAGTATGGTTTAAATAATATCGAAGTACTAAACTAAGCAGTTATTGCTATAAAAGTCTGGTAAGGTACAATAGTCCCCAGTGTCAGGTACAATCCTCCCTAGGGTGAGGTTAAATGATCACCAGGATCAGGTATAATAGTTAACAGGGTCAGGAGGGAACAAATATCCCTAGGGTCAGATATAATAGTCTCCACGGTAAGATAAAATAGTTGCAAGGTTTGGGTATTTAAGTCTCCAGGGTTAGACTGAAAGATCATATAGACTGACCTGGCATTATACAGGGGGCACAGGAGTTACAGAGAAAAAAAGCGCTTCAATTCTGCTTAATCAGCCAAGAAAATCAATGTTTACTTTTATCACTATATTACTTTAAACAATCCACTTGATCACATTTTCAACTGTCTTGTTTACAAAAACAAGCATAATCATGGTTTGAATCAGTTAACAGCAAGTTTAAAATTTGACAATTTCTAAATTTGACAATTGACAAAATTAAAGATACACAAATCAATTGTTGGATTACATAATGTCATAAATAATGGATTTTCAAAAAGAGCTGAATTTCATTCTAGTTTAAAATACTTGTACACCAAATTGAGGACAAGTTTCAATAATGATTGATGACTCATTAGTAAATCACTAGAATTTCTCATGTACCCTGTCACTGCAAAGGTATCTGTTCACCCCTCCAGGGTTACCAATGATTAATCAATCATTAAGTAATTTTAACTGTAATTTAGACAAATTTTCATCACCTTGAGGGCTCTTAATTGATAATCAATCACATAATATTTTGTTAATTTGACTGACCAAGATCTAAAGTTTATGAAAACAATGCTTAAAGATAAGTCTCCAAATGTGACTCCCTCATTGGTCAATTTGAAAATTTCAAATCAGCCAATCAAAAACTTTCAATTAACATTATAAAATACAAATGTAAAGAATGGAGGGTATCAACACATCACTACCAAATAGGTTAAAATAAATGATAAATATCAACTTGTTTTGATCATAACTAATAGTAAATAATAATAATAATAATAATAATAATAATAATTATTATTAATAATAAAAATAATAATAATAATTATAAAATACTTAGAAATTCCTCTCTTTCTTAATATTTAAAACATAAATGAAATTGCATGTATCAGAATCAAGGCATATTAAACAAAGCAGAAAAAAGGTTTCAAAGCACCACTTCTCTAGATAATATTATAAATTTTATGAAAATCAAAATTTGATTTAAAATGAATAAAAATAAAGTCAAGTGTAAAAAGGAAGTAATAACACATGGCAAATCATAATAGTAATAAAGGAAAAAAGTCTGTCACATTTTGCATTAAACTTCAAAGAATCGCGTTGATTATGAATATTGACAAACTTTTTAAAGAAAGAGATTTAAAAATTTTTTTAACTGATCGGAAAAATTAGTTGCTAATCATTTCAATACATAACTGGACGCATGAAAGGAATAAGGTGGCTAAAAGCCACTTTCTAAATGTTTGTTAATGAAATACAAAAAAGCTTTAGAAAGAAAACAGAAGTATATACTTGACAAAAGTGGCAGTAGTCAGTTAGCAGGTATGAATTTTGTCTACAGGGAGGATAAATAAATCAACAGTAACAGATTTGTAGTGTTACCACAAGCCATAACAATCTACTGCAAATCAAATTACTGGGCATGTAATCTGTTAATCACTGCTAATAGCTACTTCAGCTGTCTGCTATAAATCATTCTTGTTTCTCTCTAAATGCTGTTTGGCGGGGCTTATCAGCTGCACTCATACACCCGAAAATGACCGGCTACTGTGTAATGCTAGTATTTTTGATTGACCAAAATTTCAATTCCCATACTTAAATTTGCTTTTTTAATTTGAAAGCTTCTTTTTTAAATTTTATGTGACAATTCTCCATATGGTCCATATGTGAAAATATTCAAAGATTCATGAATGATGTTGAAAATATCTTTACAGATAAAATTTTCCATGTTCAACATGTGGACATATTCCATTGTTCATTAGAAGATTTTTTAAATACATATTTCATTGGTACATTTTGAAAAAAAAAATCTTAAAAGATTTAACTTTTCATGATCCATATGTGAAAATATTCTGTGGTTAATTCAATATGATCCATGTGAAATTCTTCCATTGTACATGAGTGTATGTTAATTCTCCATGAGCCATATGTAAATATATTACATGGTCTATGAGTATATGTTGAAAATTCATAGTAAACTTTGTTACATTTTGCCAGGGGTATATCTGATGACATTTAATTAAATTCTCCATGCTTTAATTAAGTTATATTAATTCTAGGATGAGAAATTTAAATAATAACAATGCCCACCTTCAGCACGAGCCTTTGGTTTAGGAAGTCCAGCATCCTGCATCAATTCAAAGGCAAAACCTACATTGTGTACCTGAAATTATACAAAACAAAAAACATCATATAATTTATGTCACATGACTTTTAGGTGCTACTTATTACAACAGAGAACCTTACCTCATATCAGTAAACATAATTAACGTTTCGTGAAATGAAGCATGCATCTACAGTTTCAAAACTATACCAATTTCACACTATTTACAACAGGTATTTTTTCTGTACAATTATCATGCAGTTTAGGAAAAGCAGTCACAATTTGTTCTTAAATCTATTGTAATTCAGATATGACTGTGTAACCCTAAAGCTTAAACATTCATAGTACATACTATATGGGTTTTCCCTTCTACCATCTGGAATTCATAAAACATGGAATGGGTTTGTAATTCTATAAAAAACAATCTTACAACGACCTCAAATGACCTTTATACACAGTCAAACACCAAGAAATACTTAATTTATGACAGAACAAAATTTTTTCATCACTATAATTTCTCACAAGTTACAACCTTCCATGGAATAACAAAATTACTATAAACTCGGAATTATAAGCTGCCAACATTCTAACCATGATGTTTTCATTATAAAACTTTCATGAAAAAGCCTGGCAGACATGTTTTCGCCATGGTTACCAGATTGACACAAAGACAGACTGGCATACTAAGAATTCTTAGCAACATGTCTCAAATGCCAGTCTCTGGTTTTGTGGCGGAGAACCAGTCTTGGAATGTGAAATGGAACTTTTCCTAATAACATGTTAATTAACTTTCAGAAGTCAGTACAGACAAAGCCACATAAAATATCAGATTATACCCAAGCCAGGAAAAAATATCTATAATAAAGAAATAACAGGATTAATTCACAAAATGTTAACTTTTAACTTTCTTTCTAACAGTACAGGAGTTATCACAACCCAGCAGTATCCTACCTGTTTATAAAATTTATGTATTTTACAATAATTGAAAGTAAAAACAATATAGTTGAAGAAAAGATTTGAAAGATTATAATAATTTAAATTTAAATGCATCCAAGGAACAGATTCGAGAGTGTGTCTTTAATCTAATATATTCCTATACAATCAATCTTAAGTAAATTCTGTATAAACTACCAAAACATACATAAAACTTTAGTAAAAACACCAATAATAAATTGAGGGACAATTTATCTGCCATAATGCACATCTTTATAGTACCACTGTTTTTTTTTTGGTCAGTTTCGACTCTAAATCACACTAGAAAAGACTGTATAGCAATTGTCTAACTTTTACAACCATAATCAATGTCACATTATATATTGTCATCCAAATTAAGTGGCTTTTGGGGGCAGGTATCATTCAATAAACAAAGTTTTATCAGCTCAAACTTTTATTCAAGGGTCAAAATTTCTTTCTTTACCAAGTTATAAGGTGTCAGTGAAAACTGTAATAAAATCAACTACAAATGTACTTAAAATTCAATTCTATCTGTGCCCCATAACAATAAAAATCTGTCATTTTTTCCTGAAAAAAAAAGGACACAGGTTCATAAAAACGACCAGTCAGAAATGGAAATTTGAAAGTTTAAACTTATACGACCCCCCTCCCTTTTTTATTTCTTTCTTCACCTGCATAAACAAACTTGGTCATAAAATTGTAAAGATATAAAACACAAATTTATGTTGCCTATTTTAAGTCTTATCAAAATACTGTTTTATCTTGGTCTAAAAGTTAAAATTTCATAATTATGTATTGAATAATTGTTTTTTTTTAAAATAAAATCTACAAAACTTAACAAATTCAACTACACAATAATAAATTTAAATGAATAAAACTTAATTAAAACCTTGTTATATGTATACAGAGAGCAATTATTGACTTTATTATCTTTTCATAACTTCCAGTTGTGCTTTACCAAGAGTGTTTTCATGTGTGGTTTAAACAAATTGAGCCACGTCATGACGAAACCAACATAATGGATTTGCGACCAGCATGGATTCAGACCAGCCTGCGCATCCGCGCAGTCTGATCAGGATCCATGCTGTTCGCTATCAGTTTCTCTACTTGTTATAGGGTTTGTAAGCAAACAGCATGGATCCTGATCAGACTGCACGGATGTGCAGGCTGGTCTGGATCCATGCTGGTCGCAAACCCATTATGTTGATTTTGTCGTGACGCGGCTCAATTAAACTGAAATGGCATCTAGCGGAGGTAATTGGTAAAACAATTGGTTCCAATTAACCAATTATCCAAGACAACCTTCCTTTTAATTAATGTACAAGTTACCTTAGAGTCTGGAGTGCTATAATTGGTTACATAATTACACTAACATTTCTCTAAAATCAGACAAACAGAGGAAATATACCCCCCACTTATTAAGATGGACAGGTCCAACTTCTAAAATCTGGCACTTTCCATTATTTAGGTGGAGGGGTTTCAGTATTTTAATATTCTACTTATAAAAAATTAAAAATAAACATATACAGACTAACTTTTACCCATTTGATTTTGTAAGATGGACCAGCCCTACCTATCTGGAACAGTTCATTATCAGTTATAGAGATTTATAATATAAAAAAATAATCTTGCTGAACAGCAGCTTTTGCAAGTGCATATAAACAAGATTCTATATTGAAAGCATTAAGGAAAATTCATGTCCTATGTAAGTTTTTCAATAATGACATAATTATTGTCTGTCACTTTATTGCAGTAACGGCTTAACTCCTATTAAATCATATAAGGAGTTAGTCTGTTACTGCAATAAGAGGACAAAATATACAGGGTTTTCATAAACTGTTTAAAAACATTTCATATGACTTAGCACTTGTTGTGACAATGATATATCCCCTATATATTTTTCTAAGAGAAGATCATGGCATAAGAAAAACAGGAAGTCTCATTTTTTCCCCCGACATATCGTTTCTTTATTAAACAAATTAGAAAATAAAACCATTCACTTCCAAACTCCTTTCCCATACTTAAGCCTAATTTCTATTATTACATCCCTTTAATTGAAATTTAAAAACATAGTATGAATGAATGTAGTATTAGCCCAGGGGGACAGGGGATTATAGGGGATAACATTAGCCCTGTTGTCATAAATGTCATCCTATTTCCCTAAACATGTCTATCAGGGGTCAAATCCTAATAGGCTTTGCAAACAATTAGGTATCTTGGGGCCCGTTATCAATTGTCGCAAGCCCCCTGTGTTTAGTTGTCATGAACATAAAAGTGGCAGAGATAGGCTTTCATCACTGTCAACTAGGTGACCAAAGATTTTCTCATCTAATAAGGAAAAACAATTTTCATTTTATTTTAAAGCAGCAGTGCCTCCAGATTATTGCTAATTTTATGAAAATTTTGAAAATGTACTTAAAAGTAAAATATTGTGAAGTGATCAAAGAAAGTAATTTACACAGTGAAAATGGCACTAAAATACGATCCATGTAAATTACCGTACATAGGTCAAAATATACATAAATACCTCTTACTGCGTTAGTTACACAGTAGAATTATAGTGATTGATACTGCAAAATCAGTCATTAATCGCACATAACATGTAAATAATTGATTAAATATTGAATCTTTTTACTTTTCTTAAGATCTTAATACATTTTTCTAAAGGTTTCATGAAATATTTTGGCTCATCTGGAGGCATGCAGCTTTAACTTTAATGCAATAGTGTGCTGGGAAGGGGATAGGGGCAAATGTCAGTATACCAAGTAACCAACAAAAAAAAAAATTTGAAGATATAATTATGTCAATAAATGACAGTATTAATGAGAAAGGGTAAAAAGGTTAAACAGAAAGAATGACGGAAAGAATACTCATCGAGTATATAATATGCTCAATAAAAAAAAAATAAATATTAAATCTTAGAATGGCATATGGTATTTGATAATATGCTCATGAATTTTAATCTACAAGTCAATTATTGAAATAATTTGCATAATAGCCTAATTGTCCTTCATCTTACTGCTATTTAATTATTACATTAATTATGTCAGTCATCTAATTGTAACGCAAAAACAACAGGAAATATCTGAATCAAGTACAGTTAGGTTATATCATTTTAGGATCATATTGATAATGGCAAAATTAAAATTTTACTTAAATTTTTTTTAGATTGACATTGTAAATCTATTGAGTTTTAACGTATTCATAATGATTATGTAATCTCAATTACAAAACAATTCACTTCTTGCAACTTAAATTATAGAAAATAGCGCTTCCTTGAACAAATAAGTGCTGATCTCTTACCCATAACCGTTATGACCCAAGTGGGCTCAAACCCATGATTTAAAGGTCTTAAACATCTTAAACACTAGGCCACTGCTCCCTCTATGATTCAAAATCATATTTTATAACATACATGTCTATCACTTTTCTCATCATAAAAATATTTTTTTGTTTGGTTTTACAGCACACTTACACAATTTAGGTCATATCATGCCGAAACAAGAAAGATGATTTTGGCTAACCTTGAGTGTAACATACTTGTAGCAATACCAAAGGTCAAAACCACCTCTGCTGGCTGGAGCTAAGTGATGACTAAGACTCCGCTTACTGGAACCCATTTAGTTGCTTCTTAAGATCATGCAAGATTAAAAGAGTTGCTGCAATTCTAATGTATTGATCCGTGCCGGCAACTCCTCCATCACAAGTGGCATAAGATAATATAAACTTTAATATTGCCATGTATATTCATACTTATAAATAAACCACTTCATAAAACTCATTATTTCAAGTTTTAGTACTATTTTTTTCGAAATTCTTATTCTTCAAATAAACAAGAATTAACTCCCTTATCTCAAATTCCCTTTGAGTCAATACAGAGTAATCCCCCTTCATTAACACGGTGTCATTGTCATTCTGTCCTCTTTTACAAGATTTGCAGACAGTCTTATCACAGCATAAGATATATACATGATAATTAAATGTCTGAGCTAACTGTCTTTATTAATATCCTATGCAAACAAAAGTATTATTTACACAACACTTAAAGACCTCTGTTGCCCAAGATGACATGGGTTATCTTTCTTCATTTAGCAACTTTGACATTT